TGCCTGCAGTGCCGAGCTCACTGGGGACAGCAGGGACTGAGCTGCACCAGGCTTGGGGTTCAGGTTGCTCCCTGGAGGGAAGCAACCCCTTGGCAGCAGCATGGGGCTCACATGGAGCTCACGTGGGGCCCATGTGGGGCTTGCTGTTCATCACTGCTGCCCTGTCACAGGGAACACAGCATCGCCTGACCCTTCCTGTTCTCTCTCTTTGTGCCTGAAGGTCTGAAGACGCCCAGCAACTGCGAGCTGGTGGTGGGGGGTGAGCCCCAGTGCTGGGCTGAGGGCCGGTGCCTGCTCTTTGATGACTCCTTCCTGCACACGGCGTTCCACGAAGGTGAGCGCAGGTTAAACGTGTGCAGCCTCGCAGTGTCCCCTCTGGTGCCAGGGAGGAATGGGTGGGCAAGAACACCCGTGTCCAGTTCCTTCTCCTGCCACAGCAGGACTGGAGCACCTGCCTCCCAGTGGGCTTGGACTGCCGCTGCCTTTGGCTGGCACCACATGGCAGCAGCCCCGGCCCTGGCACCGAGAGTTCACCCATGAAAATGCTCCCTCTGCCTCAGGGCATCCGGTGCCCCTTTCCTGACAGAGCCCTGGAGCCCCCCACAGCCTGCCCAGGGCTCGCTCCCAGCTTGTGGTGCTGCCACAGCACTGCCAGCCCTGCACGGGGCCTGGTGACCCTCTCCCTCTCCCAGCCGTGGCAGCCAGCTTGGAAAGGCTTCCTTTGTCGCCGAGCTGTGCAGGGCAGCTCAGGCTGCGATGGCACAGCCTCAGCATCCTCTGGCCCTTGCGCTGCCGCTGCAGCCGCCCTGTTGCAGGAGTGGCTCGGTGCTGACGTGACAGCGGCGCCTTTGTCTCCCGCGCAGGGGGAACAGCCTCACTCCCGCCTGGATTGTTCCTCCCTCCATCGCTGACAGAGGCTGTTCCACTTCAGCCCTCCCGGATTAACCGGCATTAGTCGCCCATGACATAAAAGCATCAAGCAGAGCTGTTCTACGCAGGGGGGCTTGTGGAGAGAGTGGAAGAACAAAAGCTGTTGCTTCCACCTAACCCAGCTGTGGAATTGGGAAGTGCAGCTCCGTGCAGGGCTGCAGGGCCAGGAAGGCTGGAATAGCGCAGCAGCTGCTCCCTGCACAGATACAAGGTGCAGCTGCAAGGAGGGTGAGCGCAGCGTCCTGCCTTGGCCCTGACAAGGGAATCCTCTGGGTGCCTGAAGCAACCCTGGAGCCAGTGCCAGCTACTGGAGGCACTGGGCTCCCAGTACACAGGTGTTTACCAGGGTTGCACTGGGCAGGTGCCTCCCTGTGCTCACCCTGCGCTTCCATCCCACCCAGGTGCTCCGGAGGACGGTCCCCGCGTGGTCTTCATGGTGGACCTGTGGCACCCCAACGTGGCGGCCGCCGAGCGCCAAGCCCTCGACTTCATCTTCGCGCCGGGACGATGACGGCGCTGCCCAGCCTGGTGGGCTCGGGGCAGCCGTGGGTGGGCGGCTGTGCCGGCTCGGTCCCTCCACAGCTCCGGGGCCGCACTGGAACCTTCCTCCCAGCACACGGCCTCGGTCCTCCCTCCCGGGGGCTCTTGTAAATGGAAACTGTGACGTGTATCAGCGCCCATCTCTTTTGTCCATCGTTGGCTTCAGGGATTCTTTTCTCGCCCCCGCCGTGGCTCGCTGCCCCCCACGCTCCTACGTGTTCTGTTGCTACTGTGTTTTGCAGTGTTCAGAAGTAGAGTAACAAACCCAAGGGTGTTCGTTTGAATGTAATGTAAAATTTCTCGTGGTCATCAAAGGAACAACAAACACAAACCATAACAGCCAACCAGCCCAGCACAGCGCTCAGTCTGCCCTGCTTGGCTGCAGTCTGGGACAGATGGACAGTGGGGGCTGCAGTGGGCATGGTGCTCCCCCCCAGGCAGGGGCTACTCTGGCTGAGGCTGATGGGGTGGGCAGGGCACAGCTCTGCCCATAAAGAGCCCTCTCACCATGAGCCCAGGGGCTTCTGCTTCCTCCCCCATCTGCCAGCCCTGGGGCCCCAGCTCTCCTGTCTTCAGAAGCTCCTTTTGTCACCCAAAAAGGGAGCAGAGCTCACTGCCTCAAGCTGCAGGTGCCCCCAGCCAAGCACAGCAGCGAGCCCAGGGGTGCCCCAACATCCATCCTGCCAGGGGACAGCACACACAGCCCTGCTCTTAAGTCTGACTGAGGGCATTATCAATTGCCCAAATCTCCTCCTTGCTCTATCTACAACCTTCAGTTTTCACAGCTCTAGCTGGGAAGCCCTGCAGGAGCAGGGATGCTGTTTGGGAACACAGAGTTGGGCTTTTGTGTGTCCATAGGAGGAAAGGAGGTCACCATTCCTCCTGGGAGGTCACCATTCCTTCTGCTATTCCATCTTCTCCTTTCCTCGAGCCAGGGCAGGTGCACACAGCAGCAGCTCACATGGACCTGACTCCAAAGGAAAGGTTCCCAAAGCAGATGGGTTAACACTGCAGCCTGAGGAACGAGCCCCCCACCCTGGGGTCCTGCCTACCCAGTGACCACCTGCTTTTCCTGAAGGCACCCAGCATCCAGGGTCTGTTTGGGGGACAGTTTATGATATCCTACCTGTGAGGCACAGCGTGCCGTGGCTGCTCACCACTGTCCTTGCTGGGGACCGCTTGGCTCCGTGCCCTGCCCGGGAGGGAACACAGCCCTGTCCTCCTACAACTTCTTTACAGACTTCTCGGTGATTTGATTGCGAGATAAGGCAGAGATTTCAAATACATCTGAGATATTTTTTACACCTGTCTTGTTACAGACTATCTGAAGTGCATGATTTCTACACGCATTGGCTACCTGGCCGCAGGCCCTGGGGAAGCAGGTTGGCTCTGTCTGACAGTCGGTAACATTCATAAGTGGATAAGCAAAGAGTATAAATAAACAATTGTGCTGAAAACAGAAGGGGCTCTGCCTGCTGCTCTAATCAGTTCAGGGTCAAGCAAACCCTGAGAGGCTGGGTCCTGCTTATCGCAGCAGCTCAGCCGGCTGCTGGTGGGGAGGAGGTGCTGGAAGAGCAGGAGCTGCAGGGTGGGAGGGGGCATGGGGCTGTTTGCCAGGTATATGGTAAGTGAAGGCAGTGCTTTAAAATACCCAACCCCGTGAAACCTCTGTCCCCATGGATTTTGCCAGGCTGGATGGGGCCCTGAGCAACCTGGTCGAATGGGTGAATCCCTGCCCATGGCAGGGGATTGGAACTGGATATTTGGGGTCCTTTCCAACCCAAACTATTCTGGGATTCTGTGATGTCAGTCGACCCCAGGCAGCCAAGGAGAACAGGGAATACCTGCCTCACCCATAGCTATGGTGTGGCATGGGCACAGCTATGGTTATGGCACCACTGCCTGGCCTAGGGCAGCAGAGACTTTCCCCAGTCATTCCCAAAAGCAGCTGCAGCCACATAGCTCCCCAAAACTCACAGCAGCCACCAGTCTTGCCAGAGCATCCACAAACAAACCATTTTGGGAATTGCTTCCAGCTGCCTGCGCTGACACATCAAAGGCAGCAGCTCCCCAGGAGCAGCTCCAGGGCAGAGGGTGCTGCTTAACTCCCATCCTACTGCCCAAAAACAGTAGCACAGAGCCAACTTGGTAGGACAGGAGTCGCTCTCCATGGGCCCCTGGGCCTCGCTGGTGGCACTCAGGCAGACCCAGCTGCAGCAGCTGCTCCTCATCCCCTTGTGCTCCAAATGCCCCATTTTTAAACCTCTCCAGCGCAGCCGTCGTGCCGAGGGCTGGGAGCTCTCCGTGTGCTGCCCAGACAACTTCCCTCCCAGCCGGCTCAGGCAGAGAGGTCTGGGTGACCAGATGCAGCCCGAGCAGCCATGAGAACGAGCCACCCCAGCTGTTCCCCCGCCGGCAGACGGCTCGGCAGATTGCGGCAGGAGATCCCCGACGGCAGCAGGCGAGAGCATTCATCTATTTTGTGTCTTGCTGCTGTGCCAAATCTCCCTCCTGTCCCTCTCAGGATTTTCCCTCAACTTCTTCGTGTTTCCTGATAGAGCACACAACCACTTCTGAAAACACCCAGGCGGCTCGCTGCTCCCAGCATTCCGAGGCTTCCTCAGCTCCTGGGAACTGCAGAGGGAACCCAGATCTGCTGAGTGCGCAGAGGGGACAGGCAGAGCAGCATCTACCAGAGGGGCCGCTTGGCTCAGCCTGGCAGGGAGCCCAGAACACCGAAGAGGCTGGAGGACACAGCCCCTCCCCTCCTGCCTTCTCCCGCCCACGCGATGCCTCCCTGTGCTCTGCTCCAGCAGCTTGGCCATCCCTCAAGGGAAGTGTACAGGGAAGTCACGCAGGGAAGCAGCACCTTACCTTGTGCCACCTTCCACATGGATGTCACTGAAACAGGAGGTCACCAGGATGGCTCCAGCTCAGGCTTCCCAGTGAGCTTTCACTCCTGTGCTGCCAACAGACTCCTGACGGTCCTTCTGTGCAGAGCAGCTTTTCTGCCATCGTGCCCAGGACAGCAGCAGTGCCACATGGCCCTGGTCCTGCTGAAACCACCCCTCAGCTGCCAGGGCTGGCAGCCAGGTGGCAATCCATGCCCAGCCACCCCTGAGCAAGCAGCTGGCTTGTCCTCTGGAGTCCTCTGAAATTCCCAGCAAGGTCTGCAGAGTAGCCCTGCAATGGCAGAGGCCTTAGGAACTGTCTGTGCTGGAGCAGAACCATGAGCTGTGACCATGGTGACCTCACCATGTCCAGTTCCGATGCTGACACGGGGCTGCTCACCATTTCACCATGTTTATGTTGCTCTCACCATCTCTCAGTAGCACCAGTAATGCATCTATCTTCAGGAATCTTCCAAGAAGTTTCTTCGCAGGAATGGCTGAACCAACAGGCACTGCCTGTTCAACCACAACCGGTGCAGGAACTACCCTTGGCACAGAGCTAACTGGGGGGAACAGCTCACCCAACCCAAACCATCACATCAGGAACCACAAACATGACAACCAACATGACTCTGGCTGCTGACACAGTGCTAGAATGAGCCTTGAAGACTCTCTTTTATTTCCACAGTCACACTGTGGCGGGTGGGGGGTATGTGTATGTACCAGCAGCAGGTTTCCAAGCCCAGCCAAACACAGGTATCCATCTCTCAGGTCTAAGCAGCCATCACCACAGACTCCCCCAGCCACCACTGAGAGGGGACACACTGTCAGAGCAGGAAGGGAACAGTTGCTGAGGGGCGACAAATCCTCTTTGGTCCCATCAGCTTAAGGGGCAGTTTCAGGGTCAACAGAGTGTGGGAAAACAGAGCAGCAAGAGCAGCAAAACAAGGTCCTGCAGCAGGAGGGAGGGAGGGAGAAGGACACTCACACCACCACCACCATCCCAGGGCCCTGTGAGGCCATGGGGTCCTGGTGTGGGCAGTGCTGGGCTGCACCATCACTGACCAGGCAGGCGTGGAGGGACAAGAACCTCCCAGAGTCACCTGCAACATAAAAGCCTCCTGGCAGCACTCAGAGGAGGCTTATGAGTTCTGCAGCACTTCTCCAGTCTGAGAACAGGCAGGCTCTGCTAATCAAGGTAAGGCACTACACCATGGCAGGGCTCATTCCTATGGATTGAGAGATATAAATAAAGCCCAAGTCTGACCAGGGCAAGTGCAGGCACAGTGTTTGACTGACACCTCTCAAAGCCAGCACTGTCCAAAGTCTGTGTAGCTCAGAAGACGAGGTTTTACTTCAGGTCAAGGCACGCGGGGAGTCTGCAGAGCACCAAGAACAGGCCCAGAGTCCATGTAAACCAAGTGCCCCAACGTGGCTGTGTTCTGTCTTCAGTCTTTGGTAAGTGCTAATGTCAGTAACACCTGCCCTGGCCCCAGATGAGCTGCAGGACAGGGCAACAAGTGCCCCGTTCTCAGGGCCAGGCAGGCTGGAGACCCCACAGAGGCAGGACAGAGCCTCATGCCTCTGACGGGATAAATGGCTGAGATTTTCCTTACTGGAGATGAACATTCAGCAGGGGCTGAGACACGTCGTGTGAGAACATCAGCTCACAGCAGGTTCACCCCGTGCTTCAGCAGCTTCTGCTTGGCCTTGCTGGGCAGGCTGAAGGCGCTGTCGTGCGGGTTGGGGACGCCCGAGTTGCGGAGCGGAGCACCCAGCTGCTGGAAATAGGTTTCCTGGATGGGGTTCCGGCAGGCGTACACGGCCGTGGAGGCGTTCCTGGCAGGGCAGCAGAGAGGGCAGAGGTCAGATTTACAGATTTGGGCCAGATTTACAGCTGGGCACCAGGGTGTTTACAGCACTGGGCTCCCAGCTACTGAGAGGGACTTTTAGATGTCACAGGGAGGGAATATGGAGCTAAATGGGCACCAAATCCCCGCAGCGCATTCCCAGAAGGCCACAGGGTCCTTCTCAAGGGTCCTGGCATCCTAAAAGGGAAAGTGAGATATCACAGAACCTTTGAGGCTGGAAAAGACCTGTGACTGATCCCTACCTTATCAACCAGACCGGAGCACTGAGTGCCACGTCGAGTCGTTCCTTGGACACCTCCAGGGACTGGGACTCCATCACCTCCCTGGGCAGCCCCTTCCAATGCCTGACCACCCTTTCCATGAATACATTTTTCTGAGACCCACTCAGCAGCACCAACACCCACATGTCACCAGGCCAGGGCACCATGAGATGGGATGCAACACTCCTCATGCCCAGCACTCCTCCTCTCCCACAGGAACCCATCTCACTGCTGCTGGCCATAATCAAATCCCAGTACAGCACCTCGCAGCGGGAACCACATTCATTCACAGGTGTGATGAAGCTCAAACAACAGCCAGATACTGTTACCACAAAAGCTGTGATTATTAACAGTAATTAAAATTAAGAACCCCCACAAAGCATTCTCCTGCAGGAAGGCTGGAAGGGAACAAAGCCAAGGACCCTGGATTCCTCCTCAACGGAGGAAAGCAGCAACTGCTATGTTTGCTGACACCCTTCTCTGACAACTCTCCTTAAAAGAAAGCAGTTTTAGTCATCTTGTTACTCAGGCTGATTCACACATGGAGTTGCTTTTTTTGGGGTAACACAGAATACACCAGCTTAGCCAGTCAGTTTAGGATTGGATTTAAGGAGCCAGTCAAGCTCATGCTAAATGAGGAGTTCTCCAGCACTGAAGTGTGTGATTCACATTCCCTTGGCAAGCTGTGCCAGAGCAGTGAAACTGTGTAATTCCCAGAAGCATCTTTATTTCATCATGTTTTGGACAAACAAGCAGGACTAGGCAGGCAGAATCTGTGCACTCACAAAACAAACCCCCCAGCTCAGCTGAGGAACGCAGGGTTCGCTTCAGCCGTGGCCTGGGGAAGGGATCTGGGTGTGGGGAAGGGATCTATCTGGGTGTCAGGGAAGACTCTGGCTGGGAGGAAGGGCTCTGGCTGTTGAGAAGGACACTGGATGTCAGGGAGGGCTCTGGCCATGAGGAAGGGTTTTGGATGTCAGGGAGGGCTCTGGGAGTGGGAAAGGGCTCTGGCTGTGATAAGACCATCCTGCCTGGCGCATCACAATTGAGTTTGCCACGCACATCACAGTGTGTTTCCAACCCAACAAGCCGTGTAAGAAAACAAAATCTAGGTTGCCAATTCTGGGCGCCTTTGGCTCCCCGCCGAGACACAAATTTATTAGGAACAGCTATATTTAACACTGCGTCTTAGAACCTTATGGTGCCAGGAACTGGCAATGTTTGAACGTTATATCTTAATCCAACTCATGGCATCACTCAGCTGTGCCCTCAGTCATGGTGCCACTGTAGCCTCTCAACGTCCAGAACACAAAGGAACCCACAATAAAAGCAAACTTAGGGAATGAGGCGATGTGGCTGACCCTCGCCAGGAGGCACCGGTGTGGTTACAACATGTGCCGAAACCCAGCCAGACCTAAAAAGAGGTTCCTCCCCCTTCTGTGACCACCCAGCCTGGTGTGAGGAGGGGTTGTGAGCACCCCTTACCTGATGATCACCTCTGAGGCCGAGGGAAGCTGGCAGAAGTCAGAGTGGATCAGCGTGGCCGCCCTCAGGAAGTGCCGGTCCAGAGGCCCAGGTGTGTGGGGCAGGTTGGCTGCACAACAAGAGTAAGAGGGGGTATTAAAAGCCCACTCTGTAGTGTGTCCCCATCTACTGAACAGAAAAAGGCCCTGGATCTTCCCACAGACCCTGGATAGCAGCAGAACACTCTGGTGACACCTTAAATCCCAGGGTGACCTCAATGGAACCAATCAGGGACAGCCACCGTGCTCATCCTGGGGTACCTTTCCCTGCAGGCAACACACACTGAGGGAACACAAGGTGGACTGAGGCCTGGGGTACCTAGAAACATTGGGGTTTCTCTCTGTCTTAAAAGCACTTCCAAGCTGGAGAGAGCCAGGCCACTGTCTGGGAGGCTGCCAGGGAAAGGGAACAGCAAAACCAACTGGAGCAACACATGCACAGGGCTTTCTGCAGGTCAGTGGTCCATCCACACCCAGGGCAGCAGCCCCCCAACTGCTGCCTGGTCCCAGCTCCTGCTTCTCACAACCAGAAACAACTGAGAGACCCTCAGGTGTGACTGACAGGCCCCAGTTGTACAGCGGGACACAAGGCCATCACACCAGGGATGAATGACTGGGGGCAATGGCTGGATTTGAAGGGGATGTCAAGTCCTGTGCTTGTGCTCAGCTCTCACCAGAACCCCAAGGGACATCATTCCAAGCAAGGCACCAGTGGGCAGCTGCTCCAGCTCCCACACCCTCTGGCTTTCACCCAAACAAAGCCATCAACAAGTCTTCAGCAGATTATAAACTCCCAACAGACAAAGTTCCCTCAAGAGGGCCTTTCAGCCAGGCTGTGTGGTAGGAGTTACAGTGAGAAATGCCTCTGAGCTGTCTGAGGTATGAGAAAAGGTTCCCCTAAACCCTGTTCTCCTCACTATTCCCTCCTGCTGTTCCCGAAGATGAAGGCTCACCTGTGAGGACGTTCTGGACACGGTCATAGTGTGTGAAGCTGTAAGTTGTCCTGGCTGAGGCCGAGGAGTCCTTGGGCAGAGTCTCCCTCAGGTGAACCTCGAGGCCATTCAGGGAAGCCAGGCTGCTGTGGTACTGCAGACAGGGAGAAAAGCAAGGGTCAGAGCTCCACCTGTGCCTTGCCTGGGCTTCCAAGGAGGTGCTGGAGGGAGCTCAGATGACAGAGGGACCAGACCCTTCCATGCTCTGCTGTGCTGCCCAGGCTCCCACATGGAATGGCTGGGAAATTTGGGCACAGGGGAAAGTAGACAAGTGCCACAGCTCCCAGGTCAGTAATGGAGCTCAGAACACCCTGGTCTAGTGGAAGGGGTCCCTGTGGAAGGGGTCCCTGCCCATGGCAGGGTGGTAGAACTAGATGATCTTTACCAACCCAAACCATTCCTTGATTCCATGACTCAGGAGAGGGCACTCCAACCTGAAAATAAGCCGTTACGCCAGCCGGTGCTATTAATTCCAGGAAAATGCAAGGCTCCATTAATTTACCATCAACCATTACTCCCCAGGGCTTATTTTCACATGACTTTCAGCCACATCAAGGAATATTCCTTTGCTTCCCAGACCTTGTTACACCAGGCAGTACAAACATACACAACAACGTACACAATGAATGCCAAGCTGTTCTCCTGAGTGGACTTTCAGTAGCCCAGCTGGATGGCTGTGCTGAGGCTCCCTGGGCACAGGCAGGGCACAGGCAGGGGCCCTCCACCACTCCTGGGAAGATTAACTCCATAATCCTCATCCCGCCTATGTGCTTTCCTCTGCTGTGGAGAGGATAAAGCCTCTGTTCAGGCAGTGCATGGCCTACCCCTGACCCCCTGTCAAAGAACAGATTTTCCCTTCTGTGCAGTGAAATGGAGGGATTAGACCTAAAGAGCAGCAGGAAGGAAGCCCCAGAGCCTCCTCCTCCACAGGGAAAGCCTGTGATGGAACCCCGCCCTCCCAGAGGTTCTCAGCTGCACAAGTAGCATATTTTACCCTTCTTTGGTGTCATTTTTGGGCCTCAAAGCATTCAAAAACATTAATTATAAGGCAGCTTTGACATCCCTGAGAGCTGCAGGTCATTTTTAATCTACAGATAAACAAAAGGACAGACAAGCTGAGGTTGTGCCACAAATCCAACAGCAGCAGAGCCCAGCTCCACCTCCTCAGACAAGGCTCTTCCTCCTGGGATAACTGGACATGCAATGCAGCTCTAAGGAATAACAAACACCTGCACCCACAGGAGGGTGTAGCAGAAGAGCCCAGTCACAGCCAAAATCCAGGCTGTGACAGTGCAGTTTTGGTCAGACCCGAAACAAGGGTATGTGAGATGGAAACAGGATGTTTGGGAAAAGAGCAATCTGGATGGAATGGGGCTTTGTCAACCCTGGGGCAACACATAAAGGAAAATGACCTGTGCAATCCCTGTGCAGTAGGGACATCTTTCAGCTCTCCAGAGCGGCAATTCCCACCTGCCTGTTTCCCTCTTCCCCTCGCTGGAGAAGACATGGCAGAGCAGATTTGTGCAGCTGCCTGTTCCAAATGAGCAGAAGGGGGACCAAATGCCATGCCTGGTGCAAAAGGCACCAGCTGCACCTCCTGCCCTGCTCTGATTCTGCAGCAATCCTTCCCCAGGCATGTGATCCCTCCCATGCTGAGCAGAGGAGACACTCTCCAGCTCATGGGGGAGCCTCTGTGTCCCACAGCTCCCAGGGAAAGGAGCAACCTTGAGGCTCTGTGTTAGTCTGAGCTTCCCTCCACCTTCCAGTCTGGCTGGGTAAGGAAATTAGGTTGTTCCTATGGCAACTGGCATATCAAACAGGGCTCTGCAGCTTTGACTCAGCTCCTGGGAGGGAGGCAGAGGCCAAGCAGCAGCTCTGCAGGCTGATGCTTCCCAGGAAAGGCGGGGGACTGGCGTATCCTGCCCCTGCAGCCTCATCAGCTCCATTCACAGGGAAGCCTTGGCACCCAAATCCCACAGCAGAGTAATTTGGGATTGCTATGGTACAGCCCCTGTGCAGTGCCCAAACGGCATCCTTCTCTCCAGCCCTGGGGAACAGGCTGGGGGCTCCCACAGCCAGAGGAAACGCTCCAGGACCTGCTGCCAGACACGTCTCTGGTGCTCCCAGTGGGAGAAGCTGTGACGTGCAAAGCGGGGGTTAAACAGAACAAACCTTGCTTCCCAAAAAGCGCTGAACTGAGGGGTTTTCCCAGCGAATCCCAAATCCAGCCCCAGCCTTCTGACGGTCACACCCACACGCTCTGCTCTGGTGCTGGCACTGACAGACAACAGCAGCACCAGGAGCTGTGTGAGACAAGGCTCTCACCTCCCTGCTCGCTGCCTCACACCCTCCCACACAGCCAGGGCCGTGGTGACGAGCCCTGAGCCAAATGGCTTCGCCTTGCACAGCACAGAGCAGGTGAGGAAAGGATGGGAAGCCTGATCCAGCGTTCCTTCTTCAGTTGTAAACCCTGTCCCCCCCGACACCAGGAGTGCAGCTGAAGGTGGGAGAGATCTTTCCCACTCACCACATCTTCCATGGCACTCCGGTCCCCTCGAAGATGGTCCTCAGCCAGCAGTGACAGCACCAGCCCCTTGATGCAGTGAACATAGAGGCTCATCCGGGCTGGATCACCCCCTCTGCCCAACTCCACGGCAGTCTGGGCTCCCAGCCTGTCCCCTTGGGATGCCCAGCTGCCCTCCCCACTCCTCGGACATGGCGTGTTCCCTGCTGGGTCACTGAGCAGACCCTCCTGAACGCCCACAGCTGGCAGCTGACTCCCACTCCAGAGCTGTGACTGTCCAGCAGTGCCTGGACCATCCAAACCCCACACATGGTCACCAGCAGTGCTGCTGCTTCCTCCGGAGACACGGCTTTGGCTCACAGTCCCTTGCTCATTGTATTCTCTGGATTTCCTCCTGCTCAGCTCCTGAGCAGGAGAGGGGACAGGAGAGGAGAGAGAACTTTGGTTCTCAGCATCAGAGTGCTCAGTATAAGAGTCCACAAGGGATTTCCCCATGTCCCGACTCTCCTGCTCCTGGGCGTAAGGGTTGGGAAAGGAAAAGCCTTCCAGGTATGGACCCGTAGTTTGAGCACATTCAGAAGTCCTGAGTGTGGAAGGGCTTGGGAGATGCTCTGTGTCACTCTCTGATGGGATGTGTGTTTTCCTGCTGAGCTCTGAGCTGTCACTGCCTGGTCCACTCCGTTTTGCAGCTGGAGAACTCCATGTGCTGGCTCCCATGCCAGGGAAGCCCGTCAAGGGACATGCAGGGCTGCCTGATTGCAGAGCATCTCCCGGGGCAGCTGTGCCTGAAGCCTCCTCAGGGGACTCCTGCACAAATATACCATCCAGGGCTTGGTTTTCATGAACTCCTGTTGACTCTGGAACTGCCTGGGAGCACAGAGCACTCTCCTCTGCTCTGGTGCTGGCTGGGGACATGGATGCCCTAGTGGGAGATGACAAATGGATTAAACTACTGAGCAGGATCTGTGTTACACCATACCTAACAACCCCGCTGCCCCCTGGTACTGATCAGTGGCTGCTATAAAGGGCGTCTGCCTGGGAAAAGGATGGGCTGAGGTCTAACACAGGTGAAAAGCCTGGGAATGTTACCCTGCAGGCTCCTGCGAATGTCCCTCCCTTGTCCACGAAGCACAAAGGCTCCAAGCAGTGCTGTGAGCTGAGGGACAACAGGTCACAGATGGTCTGGGGAAGCAGTTCTGCTTCAGGCTGCTCACAGCAGGGATATGGACACAGGAATTCCATCCAGCCTGAGAGGCCTCAGGCAGCTTCAACAGGCAGCGACAGGGTCTGGGTTAGTTCCAGGGAAAACAGGGACAATGGCAACAAGGACACAGAGCCATGTGTGAGCTCCTGCTGCAGATCCTCTCTCTGTGTCACGCTGGTTTCCTACCTGGCCATCCACTCCACTGGGAAGTCCCGGAGCACTGAAACTTCATCCCCTGTTAGGAACACTGGGATGATACGGACACCCTGCGGCAACGGAGACTCTGCAAGAGCAGTGGAGAATTGAGGATTAAATGAACATTCCCCAGTATAAAGGACAGAAGCCAAACTCCATCAGTCTAAAGGCTCCTGCAGGTGGAATAGGTCTGCCATCATCCTGTATCCCAACTGAGCTGGGCAGCTCAGTTGCCCACCCTCCTCACACATAGTTAAATTTTCCCTCAGTGTTTCCTCCTAACCATCCTGGCAGATCATCTCTAAATTGATGCTGAGAGATGATGACTGGAGGTTTGGACTGCAAGAATCAGCCATCTGTTGTCAGGGCTCCATCAGGGCCAAGTAGGCACATGAGGAACTGGAATGACTGCAGGCATGTTGGGAATCTGCAGAACTGACAATTAAACCCAAAAGAGCAAACCCTCTGCTTAGCCAAGGGAAGGAGTTGGTTCTGATTACACAACACCCACTGCTACTGCTGACTAGTGCCAGCAACACCCTCTGGGATATACTGGATATGCTCCTGCATCCAGCAAGATCTTGGACATGAATCCCAGAGAACCAGCTCATGCTCCCATGCAGAGAAGGCAGCCTGAGGGGTGCCCACGTGCTGCTGCTGGTGCTTGGCAGCACTGCAGCTGGATGCTCACCAGGCTCCCGTGACTCCTCATCTCCGGGTTCCCTCTGCAAGAAAAGCCAAGAATCAGCTCTGTGGATGACTCAGTGCCACCAGGACACCCCTGCCACCCTCTTCAGCCTCCCCAAGGCCGCAGCAGACCCCACACCACCCCTCCAGCAAATGTTGTGACTGGTTTATAGTGCTGGGCTGGGGTTTGTTCCTTAGGGAGCTCTCAAAGGGACCTTCCCAAGAACCAAAACACACCTGAAAGCCAGGACAGAGCCACAGTTTGCCATTACTGCCTTCTCAGGGCACAGAAACTCAGTTCACTCAACCAGAAGAGCAGAGGCCTTCCTTATATCTGCATTGTGGTGGCTTTTCTGTCACATAAATAATAACTTTTGACAAGTTTTAATGCAAACGAAAACTGCTGTTTGTCCCTTTTAGACACTAACCCAGTATATTTCCCATTAAATACCTAAATGTGGGTAAAAAGCCAATTATGACAACCCACAGCTGAGAACTCATAAATTCAGTAACTTAAAAACTGAAAAAAGCAAATTCCTAGTGCAGGAGTCTCAAAAGCTTATTCAATCATAACTAATAAAAGCTTTGAGCATCAGCATCAACATTTGTCCTTCCCAGTAATGGCACGTGTCGGATCTGTGTGACGAGAGCTCCCACATCACATCCTTACAAGTATCCGCATGCAGGGTATGTGTTCAGCAACACACCTGGCCTGGAGACTCGCTGCCTTGGAGGAGAACTTTGGCAGTGAGGGAAGGTGGCAGCTGGGTGCTCACAATCCTAAAAGGACAAAACAAAGTCATAGAATTACAGAATCATGGAATGGTTTGGGTTGGAAAGATCATTTAGATCATTTAGCTCCACTCTTCTGCCATGGGCAGGGACATCTTCCACTAGACCAAGTTGCTCCAAGCCTCATCCAACCTTGGCCTTGAACAATTCCAGGGATGGGGAAGCCACACCTTCTCTGGGCAACCTGTGCCAGGGCCTCAGCACCCTCATAGGGAAGGATTTCTTCCTAATATTTAATCTAAACCTACTCTCTGTCAGTTTGAAGCCATTCCCCTTTGTCCTGTGATCAGAACATCCTTCCCTGAAGCTCAGCCACAGGCTCCCGGGGCTCCAGGACAGGCAGAACCAGAAGCCACGCTCATGCTGGACACACTGGACTTGTGCACTGAGCAAAGCTTTTGATGCTGCAGGAACCCAAAATACCCTAAAGAAGGAGAGGTTTAACTCCAGCTCAAAGCCCTTTGTAGTGCTGTAGTAAGACTTGGAGTTCACAGAACTCGGAGGACATTTGGTGACAAAATACCTCTACCAGACACAGCAGTGATACAGTGACACACACATCAGTGTGGCAGAGGCAGGACAAGGCTCCCAACTCCCTTCTCTAGTCAAAAGTCCACCTCTGCTGCCAGCTTTAATGTCCTGCAGTGACTCACACCCAGCGTCCTGGCCACGGGTATGAGATCACTCCTTGTCAGCCCTGGAAGATGCTCCCACTGTGGCATATTTCCAGTGCTCCTAAAAGGTGTTACTGGAACAGTTTATGCCAAAGAAAAATGGCACTTGAATGCTGCTGCCAAGGAATTCTCGGAATTCCCCACCTCCTGCCTTTCAAGGCCACCTTGGAGGCTTTCCTTGAAGTCGTTCAGTCATGTTTGGTTGTAAGAAGCTGGAATTTCTCATGGGAGATCCTGGCTCTGTGCACTTTCTGTCAGTACAGAGAGTGGTCCTGGTCAGAGGGTCAGACAGAACCACTGACCCACAGACACGCCTGCACTGATCTGCATGACTGGCAAGAGAACACTGGTGGATTTAGGGGCAGGTCAAGCCTTCAAGGGAACATGTGGTTACTTACAAGCCTCTGTAGAGGATGCAGCCTGCCAAGACATGGGGACAGCGCTGGCACGTCTGCAAGATGAGAGCTGCCTTCAGCAAGAGCAGGGGATCCACCTGGACAGGGAGAGCCACAGAGAGTGAGGCCACAGATTCCTGGGAAATGCTCAGAGCAGCAAACAAAGCACACTCCCAGGATTAGGGCATTTCCAGCCAGGCAGTGCAGAGGATAGGCTCTTACCTTGGTTTTGTCCAGATGCCAAAGAGAATTGAAAATCCTGTGGAGGTCACTGGTGTTTTTTTGGATGTGTTCAATGTACCTGTCCCACTGCCTGCCCAGCTCCTCCTGGGAAAATGCCTGCGGACAACAAAACCCCACACGCTGTCACTGCACAGGTGTTCATGCATCAGGGATGGGAGATGCAATTTGTGTGGGACAGAGCCTCTGAGGGACAAATCTTGTCAGGATAAGGGGGAAGATGATACCAAGAGGAAACTGCTTTAGTCTGAACACCTAGAAAACGTTTAGGAGACACACAGACTGCCTTGGAGCAAGGTCAGGGTGGGCCTGCACACTTTTCCAGGTCCCAGTTCTTGGATATGTGAGGAAGAAACACAAGTGAACACTGCAGCACCAGGGCCAGGGGTCTCCCGTTACCGTGTAGGCGCCGCGGACGGGGCCATGGTAGAAGGTGAAGAGGCTGATGAGCTGCTCCAGAAAGCGCCTGCAGCTCACGTCAGGGAGCTCCACTGCACAGCCCAGAACCTGCAACAGGAGAGCCATGAATGGGGGATGTTCACTGACAAAACCCAGGAACAGCAGGTGAGAACAACTCTTATCGCTTTCCAATGAGGACAGACAGCTCTGTCAGGCAACCACCCCCCAGATTCACGAGTCATATGGAAAGGAAATTCAAAAATACCCACACAAGAGCCCTGGCACAGACAGGATAAACAAATTATATCAGAAATACAGTGCTTCAGACACACTTCCTTCCCACACTAGATGACCCAGCTTGGTTCTTTAATAGCTAACAACATTTTCCTGAAACTAAGTACTTTAAAACATTCAAATTAAGTTGTTATTTACAGCAATGAAGATGCTTCATTCAGTTTTTAAGTTGCTTAGAGAAGCAGAAGCATCAGGCCTTGTGCCTCAGAGCAAGCCGTGTGAGCCTGAACAGCCAGTTAAATGGGGCTGACTGGTCTCAGCCCAGTTCCCAAGGGATGGTTTGGGGGCATTTTTGTCACAACTCTGCCACACACTCTTCTCTGTATACTAAATGTCTGTGGACACTGACACAGCTCTGCAGCAGGAAATGTTGAGGGTTAGAAGGAAAGAACAATCAGACCAGCTTGAGATTCTGTTCCCAGTCATTGCCAGTAGCCCACAGATACACACAACAATGTGGAGCTCAACATTTCACAGCCACTGGATAGCAAAATCTAAAGAAATCATGTTGGGAGTGGACAGACAAATGAGGTATGTGAAGCCTAGTGACTTTCAGGACATAGTGACTTAAATTCAAGTTACCTTGCAATGAAATTCGTGCACTGCAAGGTCCCTCCCAGCTCTCCCCAGGTGTGCAGCCCCCACTCTGAAAAATAAACCCTCTTTGTTTGACACAGTCCTGCAGCCTCTGGCTGTTCTCACTCTGTGACTGCTCCAGACCTCCTGAACTCACCCACAGATAGTCTCCATCCACCACCACGGCAAATTTGAGCTTCCTGAGGCGGACGAGGCTGGGAGGGACCCCGGAGATCTCGGTCATGCAGCGAATCACTCCTGCCATCTGCCCACACAGCAGCTCCTGCTGCTCTGGGAGGGTCTGCCCGGGGAGACAGGGAGGAGAGGCTTTAGTTGCCCACTGAAAGAGCTTGGAAAAAAATCACTACTGTAATCAGGTATAAATAAAAATTAATCATCAGTTCAATTCAGTTATACAGAAAAGAATTGTAAAGCATTGGAAAGGGCTGCCCAGGGCAGTGGTGGAGTCATCATCCCTGGAAGTGTTCAGAAAACATGTGAAAGTGGTACTTGGGGACATGGTCAGTGGTGAATGTGGTGGGGGGTTGGTGGTTGGACTTGATCTTTTCCAACCTTTACAAGTCTGTGATTCTATGAATCAAACACAGTAGCACAGGCATATTTCTGAGAGAAGAATAACTGGATTGCTTTTTCCAGGCGGCACAAGGGCCTGGACTTTATGGAGGGGAACTTTCATCCCTTGTGTGTGCTTATTCACATCACCAGGACAGATCTGGACTGTGCTGGACCATTCCACAGTGGGGGAGCAGGGTGTAACCCCATTGCTGTGTCCTGAGACAGGTGGAGCCCAGCCCCACTCCACCTGGAGTTAATTGTACAGGACTTCTTAAAACTTTTGTGAATAATAAATAGGGTTTAATCTGAATCTCCACCTGGGAACCAAACCATTCCTGATCCAGAACTATCAGCCCTGACCCACAATATCCCTTTACAGGTACTGAAATGAGAGCAGACATTACCTGAGATGGGTAAAAATAACAGATCCCAGCACTTGTAGGATCTCCTTCCTCCTTCACCTTTGAGCCGTCATAAAGGAAAAAGTAATTCCACCTAAAAAAGCAAAGCAGTAGCAGGAATTATTGTGTATTTGAAAACTATTGCACTTCTATGTCTCTTTTCTATTAGTTCAAGAAGAGCAATTAAAGGTTATCACAAATGGAGAGACATTGTTCTTGCACAATCACACTAAGTTTACACCCAAAAGCAGCACCAAAAGGGTCCCTTATGACTAAATTTGAGCTTTTTTGTGGGCTTAAAATAGGTTCTATAACTCAGCAGCTCAGATAGTTGGAAGGATATGGACTTGTGAGATATTCTACCCTGAGTTCAAGGAGTGATTGTCATTGAGCATTATCCACATGCATTCTAAACAATTCCTGGGACCTGCTACTATTAATTAAGTTGCTGCCTGCACCCGACAGCCCTCTAGGAGCATGAGACAGAGTTCCCTCAGAAAATATCACGTTACTCTACTTGTAACTTCTTGGATTCACATATTGATAAGACTTTTTGTCCTCTCCTGTTGTCACATCTCGGGACAAGCTTCGCCCAGGAATATTCCAGCAGGAACAGCCCAGGTCTGGGGCAAAGGCAAAGGGTGGCATCGAGGAACCCAGGAACCCGCGTTACGGCCGGGCCAGGAGCAGGAGGCTGGATCCAGTCCCGGGCCGCCACTCCATGGCCCTGGAATGACTCCGGGAGAGGGATAGAGCTGCTGAGCCCTGGCTGGGTTCCCGACCACGGGACGGGCTCCTGGCTCCGCGCTGCAGGCGCGACCCGAGACCGTCCCCGCGGTCCGGCCAGCAATGGGCCGAAGTGTTTTCCCGGGACACCCGCCACGCGCGGCCGGCGGTGTCTGGGCGGGAGGGGAAGGAGTTCACTCACCAGGGCGCGGGGCCGGGCTCGGCGGGCCGGGCCATGGCTGCGGGCGGCTCCGGGATGCTCCGGGATGCTGCGGGATGCTGCGGGCGGTTCCGGGATGCTCGGGAACCCCGCTCTCCCTCCCGCCGCCGGTTCCGGGCGCGCCCCCGCCGGTCCCGTGACCGCCGCACGTGACCGCGCATGGCGGCGCCGGGCGGGTGGCGCGCGGCGCGCGCGCGGCGGCGGCGGCGCCGGGGCCGGGAAAAGGAGGAGGATGAGGAGGAGGATGAGGAAGGCACCTGCACCGAAGCAGTGCTGCGGCGGCTGCGGGAGGCGCGGTGAGCGTCCCGCCCCGGTACCGGTCCGTGCATCCATCCCCTCCAGCCCCGGGGCTGCCGGGCCCCGCTGACACCGCGCTCTCTCCGCAGGGACGATCTGCTGAGCTCCGGCTTCTGGGCGGCGAGCGCCGGTGAGTGCGGGCAGCGGGAGGGGAGAGCAGGGGGAGCCCTGCCCCGTGCGGGAGACAGCGCGGTGACGGAGGGCGGCGGGGAGCGGCCCCGTCCCCGCCGCGCTGACCGCGCTGCCCGCAGGAGCCGTGCGGGCCCCGCTGAGCGGCCCCGACGAGCCCCCCGCCTGCTGCGTCTGCTACGGGCTGGGCCGGTTCGCCGCCTGCCCCGCCGCCCGCTACCAGCTCGCCTTCCTGCTGCTGCTGCTGGAGGAGCTGCGGGTGAGCACCAGGTCCGGGGAACACCGGGGGCATCCCGCGGGCCGGCCCCCGCCCACGCCGCCCCTCTCCCGCTCTGCCCCGCAGGTGCCGCCCGCCCGGTGCGCCCTGTTCGACCCGGCCTTCACTGCGCGGGAGGCGGCGGCGCTGGGAGCGCTGGGGCTGCGGCTGCTCACGGAGAATGAGGTGAGCGGGACGCTCGGCTCGGCCGCCGGGACCCCCGGGGCCAGACCCCCTCGGGACCCCGCGGCCGGGGCTCGGCAGTGACGGGAGACGCCGGTTCCCGGGCAGGAGGGGAAACACGGCGTGGGGGGCTCGGCCACGCTGTTCTACATGGTGCACTGCGGGAAGGCCCTGTACAACAACCTGCTGTGGAGCAACTGGAGCCCGGTGGCACTCTCCAAACTGGTCATCATCGGGAACAGCTTCCGAGGGATCGAGGAGAGGTCTGTGCGTGCCTTGGAGATGCTCTGATGCCTCCAACACCACTTCCCTTTCCTCCCTCCCTCTACTCCTAATATTCCTTGTGACAGCAAGGTCCCTCTTTTGCTCATTTTCATTGCCATCAGGTTTACAGTCATAAGCCCTCTTTCCCTTTCTCTGTCCCACCCATCCAGTACAGAAAACTTGCCTCACAAGAACCTTGTGTCTAACGTGGGCATGTTCTGTTATTCTAGACTGCTGTCAAGAATACTGGAGAGAGATTATTCTTACATTGCAAAGGTATGAGACAATAGTTTAACATTGTTGTTTTGTGTTGACAAAGCACCTTTAATGAGAAAGGAAATGAACTGCAGTTGGAAAGAGGGTGGTTGCTTTTAAAACCTTTTTCCTGGACACTGTGATACAAAAACTAATTGCCTTATGATTGTTCAACATCTGCAGAACACCCTGCACACAGGTACTGAGGGTAACATACACACCATCCTCATGCTCACTGACTCAGCTCTGCAGAAAGGGACTTCTGCATCATCAGTAACTTTTTTCCCAAATGCTCTTTAGGTCTTGAAAGGGATGGAAGAAGTGGCGCTCCCGAGTCACCCCCGCTATCTGGACACCTTCAACGACACTTCTGTCCACTGGTTTCCCTTGGACAAACTGCAGGAACTCTCCCCTGAGGTCTGGAACTTTGTGGAAGAGCCGAGGTACCAAGACTGTGAGGACCTGGAGATCATCAGGAATCAGGACAGAGCTGCTGCCCAGTCCTGACCACTCCCTTTGTCAAGAGGGCTCAGATCCACATCTCTTCCCATGGAAGCTTCTGTGCAGCTGGGATGAAGCTCGAGAGTGACAGTGGCATCAGACTGCCGAAAGTGGCAGCACCTGAACACTGAGGTGATGGGACAATTTTGTATCTTATGTAATAAAATGTAAAGCTGAGCTTTGACTTGCACTCACTGAACTACAGCAAACTAATTCCCCTCAACCCTGCCTTTAGAACCATCTGTATTGCAGTGAGTGCTCTTTGATTCTCTCCCCTTCCATGAACAATTCAAGGCCTTTGCACATACTACTCACATCTCAAAGCATCAGGAAGAGGGAATTATCTGAGAGGAATTAGCAGTTGGAGGTGTTGGCATCTAGTTCCCACGGCAGGCTTGTAAAAGCTCTGAAAGTTGCTCAGTGCTGCTGAGTTAAGCTCTCCATCTGTTCTGTGAACAATCAGGTCAGCTCCCTCCAGGGACAAAAACCTCGGGTTCTCTCCCTCACCTCTGTGCCCTGAACCACTGTAGTCCCAAAGCACCTGCTGTGAGTTTTCTGGGGAAAATGCCCCTGCTCCAGCTCTGCACTGAAAGGCAGAGGGAGTACCTGGAGTGTTTGATGGCCCACAGGCACGAGGCTGAGGGAAAGAGGTGGGACAAGTCCTGGCTGCGTGTGGCAGAGAGGTGCCCACTGTGTGAGGGACACGGGGACAGCAACTCACTGCCAGCGCTGTGCACAGGCAGCAGAAGCTGTGACATCTGTCACTGGAGACCCTAGGGACTCAACAAGACCAGCCCTTGCTCATAAGGGAGCAGGAAATCACTTCCCATGCTCCCTTCTAACCTGCTGCTGAACCTCTGTCACAGGTGGCAATTGCACAAGTGTTGAAACTCCTTCTTCCTCCCTCAGCCTGGGTTTCCAGCTCGGGAAACCTGCTCTCAACACTGCCTGAACAGCTCTTCCAGAACAGAAAACCATTCTGGCATACAGCTTCAGTTTCACTATTTACAAACCTGTAACTTCTTTATTCTAAGAGTTACACTAAAGCTATTCCCCAAGAGTTCTCTGGGTCCCCAGCAGGGCCTCACTTGGCCATGTCGATGAGGCTCTGGAGGGAGGTGGGCACCCACGTCTTCTCCCCCTGCACAAACACCACTCCCCTGTCGATGTAGATGACGATCCGGCCAAACGTGTACAGCTGCTTCCCCTCGTGCCGCTTCCCGATCACGGGCATGAACACGATGTTGTGCTCCTCGGCCTTGGTCTGGATGAGGTCCTTGAAGTTCATGGGCACAGAGCTGGCGGCCACGCCGATGCCGCGCTGGGCCATGTTCTCGGCCTCCCGCCGCTCCTGCATGGCCTCGTACTGGAAGTCCTTGCGCCGCTCCGTGTGCGTCAGGTAGGCGATGTTCTCCCGGGCCCCCGGCTGCATGTACCCCCCTGTGGGAGACAGGACAGTGAGAACAGGGTCCTGGTCTGTTCCCAGGGCAAGGTCTGGGGGAAACTGTTGAGGACACATAGACATCAGCACATCTGGAGTGCTGTGTTCAATTCTGGGCTCCACAGTTCAAAACAAGGAACTGATAGGAAGGGTTCAGCAGAGGCCACAAAGATGGTTTGGGGTCTGGAGCATCTTCCTTATGAATAGAGACTGTGGGAGCTGTGCCTGGTTAGTCTGGGAAAGGGGAGACTGAGAGGGGATCTTATCAATCCACACAAATATCTCCAAGGGCTGTGAGGATGGTGCCAGACTCTGTTCACTGGTGCCCAGTGACAGGACAAGGAGCAATGGCCATAAACTAAAACACAGCCATTTTCCTTTAACCTGGAAGAACTTCTTTCCATGGAGGGTGGCAGAGCGCTGGAACAGGCTGCCCAGGGAGAGTGTAGAGTCTCCCTCTCTGGAGACATTCCAAACCCACCTGGATAAGTTCCTGAGTCACCTGTGACTCCATCACACTGTACAGCAAGAGGGCAGGAGTTCTAGATAGGATATCTGAGTCTCTGATAGAGGGCAAATTCCAAGTGGTGCTCCTTCAGGCATGGCCTTCCCTTTTATACAGTGTAATTCCCTGTGAAGTCCTAACAATCTCTTTTAGGTCACAGGGAAAGTCATGTGGAAGGAGAGGGCACTGCTCTAAAGCTAAGGAAAAGAACCAGAAATCTCACCCTAAGGGAAAAAAAAGCCAGTAAATTACAGCTTTGAAAGTCAACCCTTAAATGTGGGTGTCTGACAGGAAATCCACTGTAACAGGGCAAGGCTGGAAGAAAATCAGTCATTTAATGGCTCAGGCAGCCACCAAAACTGTTTCTGCTTCAGTGCAGGACAGAACAATTGAGCAGCACCTCTAAGGTGTTACTTAAGGACACAGCAAGGCAGAGCATATCGACTTTCTCTGCTCATGGGAGCTGCTGTCGTGCTGACAGCAGGGCCATCCCAAATCAGCCTCCCAGGAGCCACATGTGGCCCTGCTGCCAGCCCAGAGCAACAGGGCCACCTCCACAAGCCACCTACCCACGCTGGAGGACACGGCTCGGTTCATGATGTCCAGAGCTTCATTAAACTTGTCTTTGATGGAGGGATGTGCCAACACCTGGTCTGAGAACATGGACTTCCAGCCCAGGTACCACTTGGTGATCTCTTCATAGTTGGGGCTGTTACTGAGCCAAGAGCAGAGCACCTGCAAAACACAGGGACACGTCAAAGGCAGCACAGGTCTGGAGAAGAGAGGGCTCACTGGCACAGAATCCCAGAATCATTCAGGTTGGAAAAGACCTCTAAGATCATCAAGTCCAACTTTTGACCCATCCCCACCTTGTCACAAGCCCAGAGCACCCAGTACTACATCCAGTCGTTCCTTGAACACTGGACACCTCCAGGGATGGGGACTCCACCACCTCCCTGGGCAGCTCCTTCCAGTGCCTGACCACCCTTTCCATGAAGAAATTCCTCCTGATATCCAACATGAACCTCCCCTGGCTCAGCTTGAGGCAACTCAGTTACTGAGCTGTCAGTAAAAAGAAGGGCTGTGATAATCCAGGGACAGTTTGTTCTGATGGGTACAGAGGTTTGAGTGGAAATCAGTCAACTTCAGCACCAGGGCAGCAATTCCTGGTCAGGAGTCACTAAAACAGTCCCCAGTAACCTTTTTCCTCGGCCCTCATAGCATCTCACCTGCAGCCACTTCGGGAAGAAGTGTTTCTCCAGCAGCCCAACAAGGCTGGAAACAGAAATCATCCCTTCCCAGTCGATCACCCAATAAAAGGCATCCATGTGCTGCTGGTGAGGGTTGATGATGAGCTCGTTCAAACACATCCCTGGGAAAGGGGGAGGACAGTTAGAAAAGAACCTGACTCAGGTTTATCAGTACCCTGACATCTTTTATTACCAACACACACGATTTGAGGAGCACCTGCTTATTGCACTAAGGGACACCGGCGATCTTTAAACTCTTTCACTGCTCCTGCCACCAAAACAGTGCATTTCTACTTCCAGCAACTACAATTTGCTGCCAGAACTGAGAAACTTAAAACCTTTGACTGTTTTTTAGGCTTTGAGCCAGTTCACATTACAAAATTCATGATGTGAAAGCATTAGCACAGACCAAGGAATTCAGGAGTAACAGAGAGACATCTTACAGCTTGGTCCTACCCGACAGCTGTCAGATATTCCTGCCAGCTGGACAAGAGAGGAACTGGATGATTTATAAAAAGACAGAAAACACAGAGAATAATCAGAGTAATTCTTGTATTTTTCTAAGCTGTCTGCCTCTGCACAGGACTGGTAGCAGAAAAGAAGAGGGTACCTTGGTCTAACCTTGCTAATAACATTCTCTGAAGTAACACTGGCACCCACATTAATGAGTATCTTTCCTGGGTGTCAGGGGGAAAGTGCAACCAGCAGATTCCCAAAATTCAGCACTGTCTGGTCGTCTCACCTAGTTTAGGCACAATGTTTTTGACCATGAAAGCCTCCCACGAGCCAGGAGTGAACACATCCTTCCAGGGCTGAAGGATGAGCTTGGCAGAGGAGTCACTGGGATGCCACTTCTGCAGGGCATTGGCCAGCTTGTTCCTGATGGGAGAGTACAGTGGCTCCAGCCGTGCCTGCATCAGAGGCAGCCAGGGGTGGATCCAGGAGTGGATTGGGACTGTGTCTGTCAGCGGATTCCAGCTTTCAACCTTGAAGTGGAACAGAAAAGATTAATTAAGTCCATCCATTAGCAGCAAGTCTTGTCCAGAAGCACAAGGAGCTGTGATGGAACCTCCAACTCCTCCATCCATCAGCCAACTGGTGTTTTGGATGTTCCAGTTGAAATTCAAACACTGTCTCAGAGCATGGCTTTGCTCTGCCCAGCCCTCTCACCTCTCACCTCCACTCACCTCCTTTTGTAACTTGGGGAAGATGAGCTGATCCAGAATATTATCCAGAATCCACACAGGAACAACGTTTACCCAGCTATCCAAGAAATCCACCATGGATCCACAGTTCCTTGGCTGCCACCGTGCCACAATGTTTCTGACATATGGCATCCAGATCTCCCACATCATTCTGGCAAAAAAACCCCACCCAATCAAATGAAAGTGAAGCTCAAAGCTACAACCCAGGCCTAAATTAGATCAAATGTGAACTTTGTTAGTTAAAGCTGCTTCTCTTCTGTAGCTGGCAGCTGGATTTTAACAGGTATAGCAAGGGAATCATCAGGAAAGATCCCTTGTGTCTGCTCTTTTCAATCCCTGAGGAAGCAGCACGTGAAGATACTGCACAAAATACAATTAATTTGCTCTTTACCTGTGGAAAGCATCCGTTGACAGGTCCTGCCCACTGTGGGATAACAGCTGGTCATTTTCCAGAAGGTTCTTCCACTTGGCTATGATCTCTGTGCCATAGGAACAGTCCTGGGAATAATAAGGCACTCAGGGTCAAGGTCTTTATCGTTTTCCATTAATTTCAGCTGGGATCTGCAAAGAGCAGGCTGATGGTGTGCTGGGCTACAGCCACCATTCTCACCCCCTCACAGGGCCAGCCTATCTTACCCATCCCAGCCTAAATGGCAGTGAGACTAGATTAGACAGACAGACAGACAGACCTCTTCTACTTTTACTAAAAAACAACTAAAGACTTGTTTTTCACCTATTTTCTCTTCCCAACACTCATAAAAGGGATTGATTTTAACCTTACAAACTCCTCAGCGAATGTCTGAGAGGGGGCACAGAGCAGGGTTTGGTTTTGTTTCTTTTCTTTCTCTCCAGACTGATCAGGAATTTAGAATCACAGAATCCCAGGCTGGTTTGGGTTGAAAAGGACTTTAAAGCTCACCTCCCTCCACTCTTCTACCATGGGCAAGGACACCTCCCACTAGACCAGGACACTTAGGACAAGATAGCAAAGACTCCTGAAACCATCAAGTGAAAACCGCAGATAACCCAACACACACCTTGAGGGGATCCCAGTTCTTGAAGTAATCCTTCATGAGAGGATAAACTATGGCCACTGCCAGGTCCACCCTGTCTGACATCCTGTACTCCTCGTAGTACTTGTCCTGAAGCGTCTCAAAAATCTTTGCACACTCATCCAAGGTCAGAGGGTTTTCACAGCCGGGCTGCATCCGCCTCTCACACTCCTCCACCATATCCAGCACCTTGCTGAGGTTGCTGATGGCCTTCTCCTCGTGCGAGAGCACCTCGGACATCTTCTGGATCTCGTGGCTCAGGTTGACCACCATGTCCCTCTCGTACTGCAGCTGCCGGTCGTTCTGGATGATCTCCTGCTCCGTGATGTCAATCAGCAGCTGCAGGTTGTGCTCTAGCTCGGGCAGGGCGAACCCCTGGGGCTTGGAGTCCTTGCCCAGGGGCTGCTGGGGGCTGTCATCTGGGATGTTGTGCTTGTGGCTGATCTGGCTGTAGCTGTAATAAACCTTCTGCTCCCGGCCCGTCATGTCTATAACCTGCCAACAGACAAGGGCAAACAGGTCCCTTTGAAGTAGAAGAAGGTTCAAACTATGTGTTTAGTTGCATAATCCCAAAAAGGACAGCTGTGCTTTCAGAAGTGGGTGAGCATTGATCTATGACCAATGTGAAACAATTAAATAACCTGCAATTCAGAAAACCCAAACCCACCCACATTTAATCTAATTTGCGTGTTTTAAACCAAACCCCAAGTCCAGGTGACATGGGGGGGTTAATTACATGGTTCAGTGATGAGTCCAAAAGGCTGCACAGGCAGTTCCTAGAACTGGCTTTACTGAGGTTACTGGTGGCTAAAACACTCCCGTGACACCAAAGTGGACAATGTGTTCCTCAGAGGTTTCACCTCTCAGGTATCAACCTTACCTTGACCTGAGACAGCTCCTTCTGAGGGGCTGCAAGCTGCTTGTTGATCCTGCCCTTGGCTTTCAGCTCTTCCACTGTCTTATAGCTGTACTTGGGCTTCTTCTTGCCTCCGTTCGGGTCCTTCCGCCACTGACTGAGCTCCTTCTGAAATTCCTGAACAAAACAACAGGAACCTGTGGGAGATGCTCTTTGCCACACCCCAAATCTGCCTCCTTCTACAGGACAATAACCATCAGATCAATGGGGAATTCTGTACAGAAAAATAACAGGGAAGTGGTGAAGCTGAGTGCCAAAGTACCACAGATGCTGTGGGTCAGTCACCCACTCTATGGCCTGTTCTTATAGGGTGTTTGTGGTCTTTTTTTAAAATTTAAATAAAGGGAAAGACTATTTACCTTGGGGGCTTTTTGAAGGTGGGATTCTGAGCCAAAACCAACAAAGAACATTACAGTGACAAGAAAAATCTGTCTAAATTAAATCAATGTGCTCAGTCTTTGCCTTCTTGACTAAAATGAGCCCAAACAGTTTTCTCTGACACAGAAACTAATGAGAGAACTGAGGTTTGTGCAGCAGGGAAACAGATACAGAAGAATCACACCAATACCTCCTCAGCTTCCTCTTCTGAGTCCACCACAGGGAAGTCCTGCAGGGACTGGGTGGTCCTCTCAGAGCCATAAGCCCCCACGGCACCTTTGCCTTTCCTCTGCTTGGCCTCGATGGGATTGATGATACCTGTGAGGACGGAGAGGGGTCAGGAGGAGTAGTTTGTGTGCTGGGACAGCACAACAGCCAGGCTTTCCCTACCAGTTACCAGAACAGCACCTTGCGCTGGTATTTCTTTAAGGAATGCAATCTCTTCTCCACATCACCAGTTAATAAACAACCAAACACACTGACAGTACCTTGAGCATTCTTCCCAAGACCTCTTCCAGGGACATATCCCATCTTCTGGAGAAGCTTCTGCCCAATTCCCTTAGTGTGTCTCTCCCAGCTGCCAAAATCCATGAAAGATTTGTTGCCCCCGACAAAGCCTTTCTGGCTGGGCTTGAAATTTCCTCCCTGTTAAAACACAACACAAACCCCACAGTCTTGAAGCACTGCAATAACCAAGTTGTGTAGAATTTTCCTCAAAAGGCTCTTCCCAGAAGTGATTCCCTTGACCCCACAGTGCCCAGCTCACTGGGACCTCACTTGTGCATCCAGGAAAGCTGCCTGACACCTAAGGAGCTTCCTGAAACTCCTCAGATGGAAGTGAAACATCCTGACAAGTTCAGACTGACAACCTGACAGTTCTCTGGCTCTACCACCGGCTTTAGCTGAAGCTGATTCCTGATTTTTTCTGTCATTAACTGAAAATAAGAGTTTGATTTTTAATCTATGACATTCCTGCATTTGTCTGTTATGTGAGATTAAAAAAATAGGTTACCAAAAGGCAGCAAACCATGGGAGTTCTTCTCCTTAAACCTCCATTGACCAAAGGGAATATTAAGGACAACAAAAGGAGTTGTTCCTAAGGACATGCAGTAATACATCATTAGATCAATGTACAGTTGTACCAATGATTTATTGTTACAGTTGTTATTTTATCAGGGATATAAAAGCCAGAGCAAACACCTCCCTTAATGGCACATTTAGGTTTCTGGTTTCATTATATCCCCCCTTTTTTAGTGCTCTGTTGTAGTTTCTCTGCTTTGGCTACAGCTTCACAAACACGTTAGTTACACAGGACAGAAAGTTTCCTGGAGAGCTCACTGTTTTTAACTTCTTGGGCACGAACTCCTTGGGGATCTCCTCCTGCTTCCCAGGTTTCTCATCCTCATCCGAGTCCTCGTCTGACTGTTCCTCGGCCGCTGCCTTCCTGAGCCCGGCGCTGACAAAGCTCACGGGGGCGGAGTAATCCCTGGAGCTGAGAAACACACCCGTCAGGGAACGCTGCTCCAGGGCACCTTCCTGGGGGAGCCTGGGGGGCTGCTGTGCCTTACACCCGCCAAAAATGGGATACTAAAGATGGTCCAGCTGTTTGACGCTGGTTGTGCCAGGAAATCCCCCTCCATCCCCCCGGGCTGCAGGGGCAGGGAGCACAGGGAAATTCCCGCGGGTGAGGGGTCCCGAGGGCAGCCCCGGGCCAGACTGGGCTGCTCGGGGGGGGGGGGTGTCCACAGCAGGGGCACCCCCAGGGAACGGGGAAATCTTCACGGGAAGGAGACAGCTCTAGGGAACAGGTGAACATCCAGCGAACGGCAGGAACCCAAAAGGAACGAGGGGAGCTCCCTGGGAAGGAGAAACCTGCAGGGCACGAGGGGGAGCCACCCGGTTCGGGGCAGCCCCAGGGGCGGCACAGTCCGGCCCAGCCCCGCTCCCGCCCGTACCGCTTCCCGCCGAAACTCGGCCGCTCCTCGTCCGAATCGCGCTCGGCCCACACGCCGTAGGTCGCCTCCTCCTTGGTCTGGCGGTGCCGCTGCCGGTGCGGGTTGAACTCGTTCTGCAGGTCCCAGTCCGACACCTCGAAACTCTCCATCTCCACGCCATCGTCGCCGTCCGTGCCGTACAGGTGAGACATCGACATAGCGGCAGCGCCGGGGCCCGCGGCCCCTCCGGGACCGCTCAGGGATCCCCGGACACCGCGAGACCCTCCGGGACCGCTCAGGGATCCCCGGACACCCTCGGGCCCCTCCCGGACCGCTCAGGGATCCCCGGACACCGCTGGCCCCTCCGCACACCCCGAACCGGCTCCGGTCGCGCCGCTCAACCGGACGAGCCCCGTTCACTTCCGGTTCACTTCCGCTTACGCTCAAACCCCGCCCACAAACCATAGAGTCGCAGGAGGCGGAGCGGCCGCGCCGGCAGCGCCGCTCCACGGCCCGGTGGAGTTTGTGTCTGTGTGTGTATGTGGGGAGGTGGAGCCCGCCCTGTTAAATATTAAATACTGAAATATTAAATATTAAATATCAAACCAACACTTTAATGGTGTCCGACACCGGGGGGGGGGGACGGGGGCCATATATTAACTCTGCAATAGCCTCTGCAGGGTCAGGGAGGGGGTGTGAGGAGGGGGGCACGCGCACCACAAAGGCTCTGCGGGGCCAGGGGGGCTATTCCTGACCCCGGGAATTGGGAACAGCAGGGACAGGGTGGCTGTTCCTGACCCTGGGAACAGGGAATGGCAGGACCAGGATGGCTGATCCCAACCCTGGGAATAAGGAACAGGCCCAGGATGACTGTTCACAACCCTGGAATTAGGGAACAGCGAGGCCAAGATAGCCGTTCCCAACCCCAGGAATACAGAACAGCAGGGCCGGGAGGGCTGTTCCCCACCTTGGGAATAGGCAACAGCAGGACCAGGGTGGTTGTTCCCAATCCAAGGAATACAGAACAGCAGGACCAGGGCAGCTGTTCCTGACCCCAGGAATACAGAACAGCAGTGCTGGGAGCGCTGTTCCCAGGAACAGGGAACGGCATCACAAGACACTGACACGAGATGTAACAAGTCCTCTGGCCACGGTACACACGGAATCTCCTCCTGCCACCCCCAAGCCTGGATTCCCACAGCTGCTTTCCCCACGGAGCGCTGGGAGAGGCCGAGGACGTTCCTGCCGTGGAGCATGTTTGGCCTTTGCAAATAAATGCAAATACATTCCTGGAGCGCAGTCATTTGGCAACAGTAGGAGCAAGCAATATGCTTGGAGAACCGATTTCCACGGGCCAGTGCAAACTCTTCCTTCTTGGGCAACAAAAGGCCATTTGCAACGTTCTGGAAGAGAGAAACACAGGGAGAACACAGGGCAGGATCCCCTCAGGGGCGGGATCTCCTTGGGAACAGGATCCCCTCAGGAGCAGGATCCCACACATCAGCACAGCGGTGCCCAACGGATCGTTTAAAGCCCCCGTGACACAAAATACAGTCAGCAAGGAACCAAATCCCAGCCCAGGACATTGGACACACAATTCCTGATCCTCCCTCAGCGCTTCTGATCTTTTTCTGGCCCAACCGACTGCTTTTACATAGGGATTAGTTTTCAAAGGGTCAGTTTTAGTACCAAAAATGACATTTCATGCTTTAGCGCAGAGGGTAGAGAGGGAAAAACATCCAACACGTCAACAGTTGTCTCTGGAGCAGAAGCCCAAGGCAGCGGCTTTGTTTCCCATCATGTTTTCCTTTGTCTTCTATCCCCTTCCTCAGGTCCATGGCACGTCCTTGGAGGCAGCTGGGGAGCAGCTCAGCCCATCCACACATTCCACATCCCGTCCCTGTGCTGCCTGTGGGGACAGGCAGCAATGACCCTCCCAAGTGGCTGATTCTCATTTGGCTGCTTTAAGCCTGTTCCCAGAGCTCAGGAAGAGAAATCCTGACAAATGGTCCCAGACAGCAGCATTGTTCAGAAGATCTAAGGCAACTGTGAATGATCCTTGGCATCAGGAGCGTGCCTGGAGCCCCGGCTAATCCACAGAAATTACACAAACCAAATGCCAATCCTGGAGCAGTGTGGGCAGATTTGTCCAAATCCCAAAATTAACAGGGTCTTACCTGGAAATCATTAATTTTCTTAGTGAGAGGATGACGTGTTCTGAGTGACCTGAAATAACCCAGAAACAGAAGGGTCAGCTGAGCCACCATCTGCATTCCCCAGGACAAGGAGCAGGGACATTCCCTGAGGGAAGGGAGCAGGGACATTTCCAGCCTGCAGACACCCCTAGGAGGAAGCCAGGGACCAGACACCCCAGATTAACCCAAAAACAAAACCCCCCAGGGCACACCAGACTCTTACCTGCAGGTGACCTTTCAGATTGGCCGGTGTTTTATAATCCCCCTTTAAAACCTGTGGGAAAGAGAACCTGGAGTGACCCTTCTGGGGCAGTGGCTCCATGAGCATCAGCCAGTCCACCCCATTCCATGTGTCTCACATCTCAGAACACCTGAACCAGGTGGAACACCCTGATGGGTGTTTGATCTACATCATGGGGCCATATTGGGGCAAAAATGGGAGATTTCATCATTTTTGACTATAACGACATAGAGCAGGAAACCAACACAAGCAATTCCCAATTCCCCCCTTAGTCTGCAAGTGGGCAATGTTTTGGTTTTACCACCATGCCAGTTCTCCAAAAAACACTGAAAGGTCCGTATTAGAGACCCAGAATGTCCCTGACCCTGCCCAGGGCAGTTCCCCCTGTGTCCCAGGAGCTCTCAGCAGGCACTAAGGAGCTGTGAGAGACCAGAGTGCTGAGAGCACAGCGCAGTTCCAGAAAAGCTCTTCCCAGCTCCCAGTCAGTGCTGCTACTTCCCTGCCTGTCTACAGCACCCCGGGGACTGGTCCCACCCTGCTCCCACCACCATGACAAAGAACACCTCATCCATGGGCACTGTCCCAGGGAAATAGGGGGCTGCAGAGCCCCACCCCAAACATGGGAACCTCCTTCTGCTTCCTAACTGCTGGCTGGGACTGCAGCTCCTTCCTTCCAGTTCTGCTCCAGGGCTATGAGTCAATATTCAAAAAAAAAGGAAAAAATTTGTTGGTTTTGCCCAAAGGCATTCCAAGCCTCCACGTGTGTTCCTGGTGGGAGCACGGGAGTGGCTGTGGAGCTACACACAGACATGGCACAGCTGGAATGTTGTCCCAGGTCCCAGCCAGGGTACAGTGCCCAAAGAAATCATCAGCACACACCAGGAATGCCCACGCTGGGGTTCAGGAGTCAGTTCCCTGGGTCAGGGAGGGACAAGTCAGGATCTGCCACAGCACCACAAACAAACACCACCACAAAACCATCGGCAGCACCGTCGACATGAGCCCTGCCAGGCTCCACCTGGAACACACAGCAGGGCTGGAACCACCTCAGGGGAACTGTCAGCCATTCCCAGCCTCCCCAGGGAGAAGACTGCACCTCAAATCTTGTGTCCAGGTCTGGACCCCTCACTCCAAGACAGACAATGAGGTGCTGGAGCATGTTCAGAGAAGGGAATGGAGCTGGGAAAGAGTATGGAGAACCAAGAGCAGCTGAGGGAGCTGAGGGGGTTCAGCCTGGAGAAAAGGAGGCTCAGGGGAAACCTTCTCACTCTCTGCAAGTCCCTGACAGGAGGGGGGAGCCGGCAGGGGGTGGGGGGTCAGGCTCTGCTCCCAGGGAACAAGGGACAGGACAAGAGGAAATGGCCTCAAGCTGTGCCAGGAGAGGTTCAGGCTGGACATCAGGAGGAACGTTTTCACAGAAAGGGTTGTCAGGCATTAAAAGGAGCTGCCCAGAGAAGTGGTAGAGTCCCAATGCCTGGAGGTGTCCATGTGGCACTCAGTGTTTTGGGCTGTGTGACAAGGTGGGGATCAGGCACAGGTTGGACTCGATGGTCTTGGAGATCTTTTCCAGCCTCAGTGATTCTGGGATTTTATGTGTTTCCCCCCTGCTCTTTCCCAGCCTGGCTCAGCAGCCTCCTCTGCTCCAGAGGGCTCCATGAGCCTCCTAGCTCTGTTCCCATGGCAGTGACACTCACCCTGTGCGTGTTGTTGACAACCAGGGGGTCGGGGTGGCCATAGTTGGGGGGGTTGGCGTAGGGGTCGTAGCCCAGCCGGGCGAGCATCGGGGCGATGTGGGCCATGTCCTGCAGCACATCCCCCGGGATGTGCCCAATCCATTTAGATAACGCCTCCATGTTCACCGGCTTGATCACCTGGTCAGTGGATCTTTCTATCCTGGGGAAAAAAAAAGAAAAAAAAAAAACAAAAGACACTAAAGTTGGATTTCATACACATGCTGGGCTCACACAGAACAGCCTCAGCCAGGCTCGCTGCCACCTCTTTGGACTGCTTTGGGTAGAAAGGGACCTTAAAGTTCATTCTATCCCACCCCCTGCCATGGGCAGGGACACCTTCCGCTAGACCAGGTTGCTCCAAGCCCTGTCCAAAGTGGCCTTGAACACTTCCAGGGCTGGGGCATCCACAGCTTCTCTGGCCACCATGTGCCAGGGCCTCATCACCCTCATAGGGAAGAATTTCTCCCATATATCTGACCTAAATTTCCCTTAATTTCAGTTTGAAGCCATTCACCCTTGTCCTGTCACTACAATTCCTGATGAACAGTCCCTCTCTGGCTTCCCTCCAGATCCTGAAAGGTGATATGAGGTCTCCGCACAACCTTCTCCTCTCCAGGCTGAACAGTCCCAACATGTCACTTCCAATCCCAGAACACAAACACTCATCACCCGCCAGGCACACCTGGGGCAGAGCCAGGGCAACCCTGTCCCCTCACAGACCTGCTCTGGGGGAGCACACGCCGGCAGAGGGTTGCACAGCCCCAGAGGCGGGGTCCCCCTGTATAGAATCATGGAATCATTAAGGCTGGAAAAGCACTCTATGATCATCAATTCCAACTGTTCTCCCATCACTGCCAAGGCCACCACTAACCATGCCCCACATCCACATGTCTTTGAACACTTCCAGCAATGGTGACTCCACCACTGCCCTGGGCAACCTTCTCCAATGCCTGACCACTCTGCTCATGAAGAAATTTTCACAAAGACCCAATCTAAACCTCCCCCAGCACAACTTGAGACTGTTTCTCTAATCCTAGAGGGGGAATTCATCCTGCACCAGGGTCGGGGTGTTACCAGGACACCTCTTCTTACTACAGGAAAACAATGTAAGATGTGTGGGCTGCAGCACAGATGCACCACAGGGCCCCTATGAAAATCCAAAATGTTATCTGTTTAGGAAACCTGGGCAAAATTTCCGCAGAGCAAACAGGGAAGCAGAGCTGGCTGCACACCCACGACATCCCAGAGCACCGGAGCAGCTGCACATCCCCCCTGGCTCCCGCTGCCCTCACCACCGGGGCACCAGCAATTGATACGGAGACTTGGATAATTCCCCTACACGGCTGATTACATTTTGCTAAGCCTGACTTAAGCCTTGCACTTAGAAAAGAAAAAGCATTAAAAGAGGAAAAGAAAGTGGGAGAAGGTAAACACCACAGGCATACGGAGAGACCAGGAGGGAGTGCCGGGTGTGCCTCCACGGAGCAGGGATTGCTTTGATTCTGCAACACCAGCCCCAGACCTGGCAAGAACTGCTGCTCATCATCATTAGCAGCACAACTAATTGCACTGAGGAGGCATCTGAGGACGGGTAGAGAAAGAGGCATTAAAGAGCTCACGTTTCAGAGCAAGCAGTTCTTTGCAAATTAGAGACTGAAATAATTTCTGCAGTGTCAAGAGAGATTAAACAGTCACCTGCTCCTGAAATCCTTGCTTGACAAGCTGCTCTGTGTAGTACAACAGATTGGGCGCATTAAAGCCATCTCTTACTCAGAAACACAAACCCTACTGCAGTACGACTGATTGTTGCCCCTTCTGCCCCCAAAAATCACACACAAACACCAGCAACACAAATTTGCCCCCAGTTTTAGCCTTGACCTGATTCACGTCATGAAAACAGTCCTTGAAAAGCTGAGGAAGGAGCTGAGACTCACTTGGAAAGCGACACCCCGCCGGGCTTCCCGATGAGCTCCTCATGGTGCAGCACCGTGTCACTCCAGGAGATGTCCAGGAACTTCATGATGTTGTGCATGGATTGCTCGGGGTGCAGCACCAGCTGCTCATAGTAGACGGGCAGGCAGCGGGCCCGGCCGACCTCCAGGCACTGGGAGTACATCACCTCGATGGCTTTGTTCCACTTGGTCAGGCAGTCCCGGTAGCTGTTCAGGTCGAAGCCCGCGATCGTCACTTTCCGCGTGATCATGGAGTGCACCGAGGCACGGCCGTCCCGCACCATCAGGAGGAATTTGGAATTGGGGAACAGCCTGGACAGGTACACAGAGGACTTCAGCGTGAAGGGGTCCTTGTTGCACAAGTACCTGGCGGGCTCGCCGTGCTTGGCAATCACCTCCAGGATGAAGGCCTGCATGGCGGCGTCCAGGACCTGGTCCGTCACCCCCGCCTCGTCCAGGCGCATCTTCTCCCGCCCGGACTTGGACCAGGCCTGGCGCATGGCCAGCACACGGGGGATGATGCGGGTCTCCTCCCCGCAGCGCACCTCGGGGTGGGCGTCCAGCATGGCCCTCATGAGCGTGGTGCCGCTGCGCGGGACCCCCCCGATGAAGATCAGGGGCATGTCCTTGCTGTAACGGTACTCGACGTGGTTGGCGTCCACCATGACCAGCTCCTCGTTCTCGGGTCTCATCAGCCTGTGCCTCCTCTCGCTCAGGACCTGCTGGCACTCCAGAACCTGATGGCCGAGGTGCAGAGTCACCATCAGGGCGGCCACCGAGCCCAGCACCAGCAGCACCCTCCGCATGGTGACCCGCATCCTGCTCTCCTGGGCACAGGCTGGGGACTTCAGCTCTCAGCTAGCGAGTGTCCAACCCCACGGGCATCTGCAAGAGAAACGGCACGGTCAGAGGAACAGGACACACACTCCAGCCGAGCATCCAGCCTGGCTCCAGCGGGATGCTGACACCATCCAGGATTTCATCACCTCCTTCACTTATCAGCAACTCCCAGGCTCCGTGCCTTCCACCTGGCAGGTAATTAAAGTCTGTGTCAGTGCACACCCAAAGAGACAATTTCTGTACTGTTCGTGTTCCCAGAAACACAGGTTTACAGCTACAGAGCAATGCTCCAGGAATGTTTTGGAGGGGAGGGGCCATGTATACCCATGGAGTCCTTAAAGAAAAGCTTTACAGAGAGCCTGTCCCATCCCAGATGAAGCCCAAACCCTCCCTGAAGTTATTCCTCCCAAACCCGAGTCAGCACTCCACCACTGCTCACATCTCAGCCACCTGCCTCCTTCCTACAATTTCTTTAGTTTAACCCTGTGGTCAAAAGGGAGGGGGAAGCTGAAATAAGAGAAAAACAAACGCCTCTCATGCAAATTTTAAGTGCCTGAGTCAGGAGAAGCCGTTAGAATGAAACACTGAGAAACTCAACCATCTGACAGTGAACAGCCTCACACAGTGCTCAACACCCTGCCCTGCCTCCGGAGACTGACCTGACGGAGAAATCCTTGAAACTTCATCTGGCACGAAGACTCTTTGGGTTTTCCGGGGCTCGGTAGGACATCCAGCAGGAAGGCTGCAGCTTCTGCGAGTGCCCAGCTCTGCTGCGTGCCCAGAGGGACTCCCGGGAAGGCTGGCACCGCTTCCCACCCCCTCCCCCCGTCCGCCCCAGTTGCGAGTGCAGGTTTTGCAATCCTCCCCTGGGCTCACCCCGGGATTTCCAGTTCTTTGTGATTATGTGGCTGGGGCGGGAGCTGAATGGAGTGGAAGGAACGGGCCGTCCGTGCATTCTGTTTTGCTGACAGGCCAAAGAACTGCTCCAGAAAAGCGTTTTCTCCCATAGACTCTCTCCCCAAAGGAGCACATTGCACAGCGGCCTGTTCAGAGCAGGGAGCAGGCAGGAGAGAGCCCGGAGCCTGGCAGCCTCCCTGCCCCTGCCCTCCCTTCCAAGCACTCAGGGACTTGCTCTGCTCCCCCCTTCCAGCCCCTGACATCCCACTCCACTGTTCCCATCCGCCCACTCGGTTTTTATCCACTTCTGCCCAGGCAGAGCCCCTACGCCAGCCCAGGGATGTCCTTCCCCAGCATAGGGACACACTTCCACAGCCCAGCAGCACAGTAACATCACCACCAAAGCTATTTTTGTGGTTCTTTACTCCTGGTCCATCTTGGCCAGCTGTGACATATCCAGGTTAAACAGTCTCAACTGCATCCCCAGGTCTCAGATAAAAGTCAAAAGTATGTGGCTTTCTTGGGATGTAGATCAGAGGGATACCCAACAGCTCTGGTATTTTTGCAGCACCAAGCAGAGTCAGAGCCATTAACAAGACAAAGTGTTGCTCCTTCCTGCTCTCTTAATCTGTTTCAGTCATGTAAATATATTCAAATGTTCACCCAAAAATAATTGCAAATGCCACAAGACCCATTTCAAAGGATGGCAGTAGATTGCAGGATTTAGGGCCAACTGGAATAATTAGGGTGATGCAGACCAAAACAGGCTATTTAGCAGGAAAGGCTGCAGTGTGAAAGGAGACTGGAGCACAGAAGTACTCTGTTCTCCCAAAAAACAGCTGACAGGGAGCAGTTCCCACCGAGATGCTCCAGCAGCTTCATCTGAGCCACAGAGGGAACAAAGAGACTTCACTCATGTGCTCATGTTGAGTGCTGGGGGCTGCGGTATCAGCACCACAAGCAGGACATGGCCTCAAGCTGTGCCAGGGGAGGTCCAGGTTGGACATGAGGAGAAATTTCATTACACAAAGGGTGGTCAAGCACTGGAATGGGCTGCTCAGAGTGGAGTCCCCATCACTGGAGATGTCCAAGGAACGACTGGACGTGGCACTCAGTGCTCTGCTCTGGTTGACAAAGTGGTGATGGGTCACAGGTTGGACTCAATGATCCTGAAGGTCTTTTGCAACCTAAATGATTCTGTGTCCCTGGGGACTGTCCTGCCTGTCTGGTGGGCAGGGACACAGCCCCGACCACTCCTACCCAACACCACCAGTGTGGGGAAGCTCTCAATCTGAAGAAGTAGGAAAGGAAGCTGCCCACAGGAGCATGGCTTCTCCCCACTGTTGTACTCTGGGACTCTGCCTCTGCTCCTGCATGGCAGCCACAGGCCCTGGGAGAGCTGGAATGGAACAAACTTCTCCAGTGGAATCGCTCTGGTGTGCCAGGCAGGCTGAACAATATCCACGAGCATGTCTGGCAGTGGGCTGGGAGCAACCGCAAACAGCCCAGCTGGTTCTCAACTCTTTGTGCAATTCTCTGCTAAGAATTTCCTAGAATGTATGGGGCTCATTAATCTGTGAGGGAAGAGGGATGGGTCATTTCCTCTAGAGCAGACACTGTGGTGGAATCATGGCATAATTAGGCACATAGCTGTCTGATCAAAGACAACCCTTCCAGAGACAACAGTCATTCAGATGCCCAAGCTGGATCTGAGAGCTTCCCACACCAGCAGGAATTAGGGAGCTCTCAGGGGCTTCTCTGGCACATCATGGCAGGCACTGGAGCAGAAACCAATGTGCCAACAGCCAACCTGAGGCTGAAGCCCCTGAGTGCAGCTCTGACACCACAGGACAGGGAGGGGCTGTGACCCACAGCCAGGGACTCCATCACTGACCACCATCAGGGCAAGGCTGACACCCACAGCATGGGGGAGGATGGGAACCAGCAGGGAAGTGGCAGCAGAGTGACAAGAGGTCCTACAGGCACAGAGCCTTCCCTATTCACATGCTGATGGACCATTAGCATGAACAAGGCTTACACCACCTCCTCTCAGCTTGTGAAGGCAACACGGTATTAATGGGGCACCAGTGCTGGCGTGCACAGATGTGAAACATCCACCCAGCACCCCAAGGGAACCAACAACCCATGTGTGCTTACCTTGCCCCCATAAGGTCATTTTGCTGCTAGCCGAGCTTCATGCTGGAACCTCCAGAAAACCTGATAGGGAAGAGAAGCCATAATGCTGATTTATTTACTGCACACATCTGCTCTCCTCCTTGGCACCTTCCACTCCTGCTCGCAGCCTCCCTCCCATCCCTCCCAGGTAAATGTGGTGAATGTGGTAAATGTGGAGCACAGCCTCGGCACTAGGAGCTGCCCATGCTGCCAGGAACAGCCTAAGGAATAAAGCTCTCTCCAGCCTCATCGTCCCCCAAGGGGGCAGCACCAGCCCCTCAGAGCATATGAATCCCTCCAGGTAGGGAACCAAATGCTTGGATACCAGGTTTCCCACAAGGACATGGCACCTGCACCACAGGGATTGCCCTCTCCTTGGGGAGCCCGGCAGCCGCCTGCAGCGCCTTGGCTGGAGCCATCCCACAGGTGCATCCCAGGGACAGCCCAGGAGACTGCGCTGCAGCAGAGCACCCCGAGGGGCCTGGACCCGGCGGGACAGGGGGGTGTCACTCTGCTCCAAGGATCACAGAGGGTGCACAGGGCACTGGCTTGTCATAGGGCTGCTGCCAATTGGCCCTTCCCAGTCAGCTACATGACAGTGTCCCGGCCTTGGAGGATGTTTTCGAGAACATTTCAAGGACAGACACTAATTGCTATTCCAGACACCCAAGTCTCCTCCTCTCCCGCCATCGAGTGTCACTGGCCCCTCTGCTTCAACACCAAAGAGAAACCAGAGGGAAACTCCACCCAGCATGAACTCTGGGAGGCCTTATCCGCAGTACACATGCTGCCCTTCTTCCCTGCCAGGCTTCCTGCTCAACTCTGTCCTGGCCTCCATGGACCGTGGGATTTCAGCTCTGGACAAGGCTGCATGCCCACGGAGCAGCAGCTGCAGACCTGGATGCACTTCTGCAGTGCCACAAATGCTCTGGATCAGAGAACAGCAGCAGTTTAACAGCCCACCCCAAGCCACCCCACTCCGGAAACAGCTCCAGCTCCTGCCCGTGCACAGGCACGCACAGACACACGGACACGCTTGCTGACTTCCTTCCTGACACTGCACAGGGTGTCACTGCCAGCCGGGCTCCGGTACTGAGCTCTGAGCAACCACAGCCCCATGATCCGGCACCTGCGGTGGGAACGGGTAAACCACCGGCAGCGCCTGGAACAGCCCCAGGCGCCAGCACCGCTGGGCCCAGTACCACCTGCAGTGATGAAACAATATCGGCCCCATTTTTTGAAGTGTTACAAACAACACCGGAAACAGTGTCTATGAGAAGCTCCATATGATCAGAAGCTGCATTTTTCTTTAAAACATTCCCAGAAATGACTGTCACTAACTGCAGCTTCCCCAAAAAGACGTAGGTGTGGCCTGGAAAATTTGAGCTCAATTTGTTGGTGCTTAATAAAAGGATGAGGAACTGCAGGCGCCTTTGTGGCGGAACAGCAGCAGGAACTGCGGTCAGCAAGAAATGTCCTAATATATCCAACTCGCATCTTTACAAATCAGCAATATTTAATTACTTAATTAATAGTCTACAGTTCATTTACAAAAATAAACACAGCTTGCCTGAGGACAACTGCTTCATGACAACCTGAGCTCAAGCCCAACCCTATCACTGCCAGTGGTGGCCGTGACAGCAGCCCTTTTCCTCCTGGTCCTTCCCAGTGGCACTCGTAAGGCACTTTCCAAAACACCTGATGACTCCCAGGTACCTCCCTTAGCAGAACAGGGATACTCCCATCCTGCTTGAAGGAGACAGCAGCAAACAGCCGAGCGGTCAAGCCTCCGGGAGGAAAGAGCCGGCAAGAGCTGTTGGGGGCTGAGGGCGTGGAGCAGGAAGGGACAGGATGCAGGCACTGCTGGCACAGAGACACACGGGGCGTCTCTCCATCTCAGTTTCCAAGCAGCCCGAACAAAAGCCGACCAACAAATTTCAAAGCATTCACCCACACTGACGAGCAGCCCCGGGACACAGCGAGCACAGGGCAGCCCTGATCCCTGCCGGGTGCCCACAGAGGCACCGCGGGGGCGGCTGCGGTCACCAAGTGCAGCGTCAGCCCCATTGCACAACCCCCAACTCGTGCTCATCCACCCCAGCACAGCACGGATCTGGATTGATCCCACGGGACAGCCATCTGGAGCGAGCAAGGGCCAACCTGCCCACCCCGCTCGATGCTGCAGCCACTGGCAGTGGAAGAGGGGCTCTGCACCCACCTCTGCTGCAGGTGAGCCACAGCTGGAGCCTCAGAGCCACTTTGATGTGCATAAAATTAAGCTGCATCACTCAAAAAACACCCCCACAACAACAAAACGAGCTGCTTTCAGCCACCACGTGGAGAAAGCAGCACCACTGACAGCAGGACAGGTTTGGTGACTAAAGCTGAAACTGTACTGCAGGTCATGAACCCAGAACATCCACCAGAACCAGAGGCCAATCCCAGTAAAAATACTGGGTGTTTAGAGCACTTCAGGGTTCTGTGTCCCTTGGAAAATCCCCAAATAGCACTAACAGCACTGTGGTTTGCATTTGCACCACCAACAAAAACTGTAAAATTCAAAGGAATCCCAAATAAAACTGTAAGAAACAGTCAAAAATCTGCAAGAATAAGTGTTCAAGCACCCAAATCACATGGAGGGTGCTCCAGCTGCATCTTAGCACCCAACTGGCTCAGGGGAGAAGGGGGAATTTATTCTCACTGCTGGGTACCTAGAAAAATAAACCAGTAGAATCTGATGCTCCAAGGATTAAGGCAGTGTGTGCCAGTTTCAAATACCAGCCTTCTCACCTGAAAAAGCCTGAGAGGTGAGAGCCCTGAGCCACACCACGCATTCCAGCTGAGCACCCCAGCACTCTATCCTGGAGAGCCTGGCCACGGATACAGGCACAGTGCACCAGCTGGCTCCAACAGGCTCTAAATCACATCAGCAAAGAATCCACAGACATTTTACAGCACAAATGGATGGCTGGTTTATCGCCTCAAGGCTGTTATGATTAGCAAAACATTTTATTATCCTGCTCAATGCTACAGTGTTCCTCAAACAATAAAAATCCCACCAATTTACAGAATCTTCCCTCTGCCTGCCCCTCGTTCCAAGCACAGTGATGGCATTTTATGGTCCGGCGATGGAAACCGCAGCATCCACCCTGCCAACCCTGTACGGCAGCAGCCCTCGGCCCAAAGTGGCTGATTAATTATGAAACGCCCAAAGTGAAAGCTGCTGGCAGGAGCTAGGCATGGAGGCACTACCCAGCACCTGGCTCCATGCCCCCCATGCCCCAGCAAGGCTCCAGTAAAGCCGGGCGGAAGGGGCTCGACACATCCCCCCTTGCCTCAAGGAGCAGGATGGGGACACAGAGCTGCTGCTGGAAGGACCAAGCTGAGTGAGGGGGAACAGGAGGGGAAGGGAGAGCCCCCTACTCCATGTCATGGGCTGTGAGGGATGGGGACTGGAGCAGGAGGGGTGTCTGCGGCCGCCCAGCGATGATGGAGCCACCAGATCAGCTCCGTCTCCACGTCAGAAGTGCCTGTGCTGAAAGAGGACACGAGCTCTGTGCTTTGGAGGGAGCTCCTGACTTTAAATCAACCCACAGAGGTTCACCTTTCCTTAATTACTCTGCAGTTGCTGCCTCAGGGGGACAAAGGCAAAGCCAGCGCAGGTGCCGCTGCAGGGACTGTGACAGAGAGACGGTCCCTTGCTGGCTCCCCTTGTGCCCACTGTCCTGCTCCCCACTCAGAGCTGGATGAGGGGGCTCTTGGGAGACACAGAGCTGTCCTCCTGTTCCTCTTGCCCACAGAAGTTGTGGATGCCCCAGCCCTGGAAGTGTTCAAGGCCAGGGTGGATGGAGCTCTGAGCAACTTGGTCTAGTGGAAGGTGTCCCTGGCCATGGCAGAGGGTTGGAACTAGAAGATCTTTAAGGTCCCTTCCAACCCAAACCATTCTATAATTCTGTGATGATTCTATGAGCCCCCCTCATTCCTCTGACCAGGGCCCTCCAACTCCCATCCTAAGCTCAGGGTATGCCCCGGGGATACCCAAAGGAGAGAGGCACAGGGCAAAGGCAACTGGAGGTTGCAGCCCCATGTTCACTCACCACGCCCAATGCAAACACAACTCTTCCCTCTCAAAACTGCACAAAGATTCCCTGTGGTAATGTGGGTGGTCAGAGCCTGCTATACAATAGGGAGAAAGAGAAGTCAGAGGAACTGCTAGAAAAAACAGAAAGTATCTTCAAAAAATATTTTCTCAATCCACAGGCCAAACCCTAAGTCTCAACAAGCTCTATTCTTGCACACACAAGGATCAGGATTTGCAAATAAAAAGTTGTTTCTGCAAGAGAAACCCCAAAACCTCAAATTTGCTTAAGAAACAAAATCAAAGTGTTTTATTTCCCCATGCAGCAGCAGCAGCAGCAGCCCCAGGACTGGAGGCATTGCCTGAGGGGAGGGGAGGGTGGACAGAGAGGCCGCTGCTCACCACAGACAGTGAAGGGAGACGGGACAGTGCTGCAGCTCATCAGTGTCAGCCCCTCTGCTCATTCTTGTCCCATTTCCTGCAGCTCAAGGCCTCAGGAACCCTGGGCACAGACCAGCCCTAGGATCTCCACTGTGGTCCAGATGGCCCCGGCACAATGGATGCCACAAGGGCAAGCATTTGGCATTTCCACAAAGCCAGAAACTTTGGGAAGCACCAGCACCCCAAGCCCACATGCCAGCATAGCCCCAGCAAGGACAGGAAATGAACCTCACCAAGCCCCAGCACGGGAGAAGCCCTTGTGAAACCATGGAAGGAAGAAACAGAACCGGGCCCTTCCGAGACTGCGTGGCTGCTGACTGTCAGCCAAACCACCCTGCTCGGCACATCCGAATGCTTTCCTGTCTGCAGGACCCCAGCTGTGAGCCCTGGTCCTCTGCTGCCACTTGCAAGTGCAAATGCTGGGCCACCAAGGCCTCGTGCTCGCTGCCCTTTCCCTGCTCAGTGCCCTTCCCTTCGATGCCACCTGGCCCTGCTGGCCCGCAGCCAGCTGTGAGCACAGCTGCCAGGGGGGCCGGCTGCTCTCCCACCCCCCTTGCAGCTCAGCCACTGCCAGGAACAGCCGCTTGCACCGCAGGATCCATCCCAGCACCGAGCAGGAACAGGAGCACTGGAAAAACCCCGGCTGCTTCCCCCTGCCCCACTAGAGCAGCCTGCGGGCTGCAGTGGCTCTGGAGCTGAAACACCCAGGGTCACTTGTCCATGGAGAAGCATCTGGATGCTGCAACCACCTGCAGAGTCCCCAGCCACAGTTTGGGGTCACTGGCCTGGGAATGCGGGATGGGAACCAGCCACTTGCTTCACTTCCGAGCACTGCGGGTTGAGCAATCTCCTGCTGCTGTTCTTGTTTGCTGTCCCTGTGAGGGGACAAAAGGCTCCTCAGCAGGGACAGCCTCCTGCACACCCTCCTGCCTGCGCCGTGAGGCCAGCACAGGACGGACTGGAGATGAAAAGAGGGGAAAAAAGCATTGTTCGTCTTGAGACAGGATTTCTTTGAGAGAATTACTGCAGAACTGGAGGCAGACAGGGGTTTAGAACTGCAGAACTGGAGGTTTGAACAACGTTGTGAACCAAAGCAGGCAGACAACACCATGGCAAGCTTCTCTCGCGTTCCGCATGCTCACTGCCTGCAGACTCCAAAGGGGAACAGGCCTGGCCAAGGCACGAGGCTGAGGTTCCTCAAGGCATCACAAATTCATCAGAAGGCGCATCTGTAGGGTGCCAAATAAAACCACCTGCTGGGGTTTGTTTTCTCTCTCCAAAAATCTTCTTGACAGTCCCTGCATTTTAACAGCACTCCTGCCATCCCACACATCCCTGAAGGCTCAGCGTATCCGTAATGCAAACTGCCTTTGGAAAAATCTCCTTAAAATAGCGACAGAAATTACTAATACAGTTTGTAAAACCTACAGGCAGAGGATGGCAGTGGCCTGAGCCTGCCTGTCCTGGTGAGTCCATCTGTGTCCTGTGGAGACCCCATGGCAGCTCCCACCCCCTGGCCTGGCACATCTCACCAGAGTGGAGGGCACAACTCTGCCCTTATCCCCCCGCAGTGATGCCCCCCAATGTGGAGGGATGCTGGGAAGGACCCACGTAGTCCCCAGCTCAGCTGCTGCCCCCCAATGTGTGAGCCCTCCACAGACCTTCAGCTCCCTGTGGGCACCACAGCACGGCTGGTCCTGCCGTGCCTCACGCAGCACCAGCTGCCACAAAGCACAGGATGGCAAACCCCGCTCACAGGAACCTGCGTTGGCACTTGACAGCTCCCCACGAGCACGCTGCACCAGAAAAGCAACGGCAAATTTGGAAACCTGTTAGCACCAATCATTCTGAGCTCTGCGCTCACCCTTGCTCGGTGCCCAAGTAGGAGGGAGTAGCACCACTGTGACGAGCAGGGACTCGCCACCCCACAGTGCGCTCATGCAGCTGGCAGGGTGGCTCTGACTGGCAAAGGGAGGAAAGTTAAGGGGTTTCTAGTTGTGAGATGTTTTTTGGACACAGCCCGAGCGTGCAAACAAACACAGCAAGGGACAGAGCAAAGGTCTGTGTGATGCAAACCATCCCCTGCCCATGGAGGACATCGGCCCAGCTCATGCTGCCCACCCTGGGACACATTGCCAACAGTGCTGGGATGGCAACTCCAGCCATGAGTCCCAAGGAACTTGAGCTTGCTATGGACACAGCGTGGATGTCACATCCTTGCCAAGGACACAGCCAAGGACAGTGTCGGTGTTTTGGGTGGGCTGCAAGGTGCCAATACAGCCGCTCGGGCACCCACCTGCAACCCCTTTGCCGACGGATCTGCACCCCACAGCCACCGTGGTCTCAGCACTGCAAACACCTCTCGTGCCAACAGCAGAGGCTGATGCTAACCAAGACCCAAAGGTGCAGGTTCTCCTCGACACTCACCTGTCCAGGCAACTGCAGTACAGACGACCACACTCACCCTGGCATGGGGTGGCAGTGCTGACCCCAGTTCATCTCTGGACACCTGCATGGACGGACAGTCACTGCCCGTGGGTGCCCTCCTGTACAGTGATGCTTGGGTTATGTGGGGCACAGCCTGGTGCTGGGCTGCCAGAGGGGTGCCAGGGGAGCAGGGGCATGGGGAGCGGGTGCCCAGTAGCAGGAATGAGGGGAGAAGGGCACAAGGAGCACCCTGTGCTGAGCATCCTGTGCCACCTACCACATATCCATGCACCGAGAACACTGCGGCACCCTCAGCACATCCTGCACTGCACAGAGCGTACCCTGCACCCAGCACCACCCTGTGAACTCTGCACTGAGCATCCTGCTCCCAGCACCCAGCACCACTCTGTGAACCCAGCACGGAACACCCTGCACCGGGCACTGCTCTGTGTACCCAGCACCGAGCACCCCTCTGTGAACTCAGCACCGAACCCCCTGCACCACTCTGAGCATCCCGCACTGAGCACCCTGCACTGCTCGGAGCATCGAGCACCGCTCCGCGTACCCAGCACCGAGCATCCCGCACGGGGCACCTTGCACCGTTCTGAGCACCCAGTACGGAGCACCGAGTACCGTTCCGAGCACCGCTCTGCGCACCCCCCCGCACTGCGCACCGAGCGTGCCCCGCCGCTCCGCCACCCACCGAGCCCCGAGCCCTGCCCGCGAAGCCCGCAGCGCCCGCCGGTGCCGGGTGCCGCGCACTGCCCGCCGCGCAGCCCCGCCGCTGTCACCTGCCGGCCGGGGTGACACGCAGGGTGCCGGGGCGGGGCCGATCCCCCGCTCCCCGGTGCCCCCCCCGCCCCGACTCACCGGGGCCGCCGCCGGCCCGGAGCGGCGCGAGACGCGGCGACGTCACGCGCACGAGGGGCCGGGATCGCCGCGCGCCGCACCGCGCGTGCGCCGCGCGCCCCCGGGCACCGGGCGGCACCGGGAGCGCGCGGGCGTGTGCGCGTGTCTGTGTGCGCGTGCCCGGGGCACGCGGGTGGCACGCGGGAGCGCGGGCCCGCGCCCGCACCGGTGCCGGTGCCGGTAACGGCCCTGGCCCCCCATTTGTCCCGGGGGTCCCGGGCCCGGGAGCGCCTCGCACCGCGCTGTCCGCAGCTGCGCCGTCACCCCCGGCCCCCGCTCGGCCCCGGTGCTGCTGCCTGTGCCAGCGCTGCCGTCACTGCTATCGCTGTAATTAATCACCGCCGCCGCTAATGAGCGGCGTGGGAGCGCAGGAAAACGCCACCCGAGGTGCCCGGACGGGATGGGAAAAGGGGAATGAGGCCGAGGAAGCGCCCAGTGCGGAGGGACAGCGTCCGAGGGGAATAAAAACTCATTGAGAGTGAGTTGGTCTTTGATTGACTGCAGATACGGCTGTTAATTAGTGTCCAGGTGGATCCCACTGGCGGGCCCGCAGCTCCCCGTCCGGCAGGCACGGACGGAGCCCAGAGCTCTCCATGGTCCGACCGTTCTGGAAGTGCCCTGAGTCCCCCGAGCCGAGACGATCCCCATGGGAGCTGGTGGGGTCCGGTTGAGGAGCCTCCTGCCCTTTCCCGCACCACCTCCTTTCCTCCACATGGAGAGTCTCCCATGTCCCAGCCCCAGTGTGGGGAGCAATTCCCCTGGGAAAACCACCCTAGACCATGTCCCACCCGGCTCCAGCACAAGACTGGCATGGGCCGGGAAGGCGGAGTGTCCCACGGCCGCGCTCATGCACCACCGACCCCCGAAAAGCTCTAATCTTCTGGTTTTTTTTAATTTGCCTCACAAGGTAGAGTACATCCAGGGAATGTGCAATGTACAAGGAAAGTGCTGGGCAGGCGAGCGCGAGGGGAGGCGGGGGTGCCCCACGGGGCCCGGGACTCGTAGCTAGCAGGCGGCACGCTCAGTCAGAGGGCGCGTCGGGGGTGACAAAGGTGCCCTTCTGGTCCCACTGCATGTCCCGGATGCGGCGGATGGACTGGATCTGGGGCTGGAAGGCAGACCACTCGTTCCAGTGTCGGAAGTCTCCGGTCTCAAAGAGGTACTGGTAGCCTCTGTAGCCAGGGTACTGGTACCCGACCCAGCTGCAGGGAAAACAAACACAGGTGACCTAAGCGGGCTTGGCTGTTACAGGCAGAAGCGCCGCGGCCAGCACGTGCTCAAGGAGCCGCAGAGGCCCCCACCTCCCGGCGCTGGGCACAACCCTGGGTGGTGGGCCACACCACCAGAAACAGCCATGTGGTGCTTTCTGGCTGCCTGGGAGCCCCGTGTGGGTGCTCAGAGCAGTGGCAGTGGGTCGGGGCACAAGGGAGGACAGGGAGTCTAGCACAAGGCAGCTGCCACTGCAGCTTGGCTTACGTTCCACTGGGCACCTGCACGCTGCCCACACGGTCGCAGAAACCATAAGCCCAGAGGCTGGGCACATCATCCTCCTGGATTTCCATCTTGTTGCCCTTGAAGTCAGCAGACTCATAGAGGGAGATTTTGTGGTCCTCAGCCTCCTGGGGAAGACAGAGGAAAGGTGCTGGCTTGCATGGCTGAAGCCCTGGAGTTGCTGCAGCGAGGCATCAAGCAGCACAGTCCGGCCCTGGGCAGACCCCAGCAGGTGCTTCCTGCTCCCAAGGACTCACCATTTTGATGGGACGCATGGACATGAAGCAGTCGCTCCGGTAGCTGCTGGACCAGGTGTCCCAGCGAGGGTACTCTCCCTTCTCCAGGATGAACATCTCCCCACGCATGTTGGCCTGCTCGTAGGCCACCCAGCTGGGGAGAGGAGTGGGCAAACGGCAGGTCAGATGCCACCCTGCAGCTCCCATCCTGCTCCCCCAGCCTGTGGGGTGCCAGAGGGGACTCCAGCACCCAAAAAGGCTGTAGGTGCCAGGAGTGGCCCCACCACCCCGCTCCCACCTTTCTCCCAGCCCACGCACTGTGGTCTGTGCAGAGCCAGTGCCGATGTGAAGCAGAGGTGTGGGCTCCCGGCTGGAAGCTCAGTGGTGTGTGTGTCCAAACCTGCAGCTGCACCCCTTCCTCAGTTGGGAAGCAGTGGGACCCCCGGACAGCTGCACACCACAGAGTCATCTCAGGACTCTGTTTTCCCTCCCGCACCCCCTGAGCCTGGGCTGCCCAGGCTGTCTAATCCTGGCACGCTCTCACGCCTCACTGCACCAGCGCCAGCCAGCGCTGGCACCCAGCCCACTGCTGGGGCACAGGGCTCGCTCAGCTGCAATGTCACCTCTTCAGCAGTACCACGAGGTGCTGCAGTGCTGTGAATGTCATGGGCCTGGGGCTTCAGAAGCCCCCAGCACCACAACAGAGCCGCATTTGCTGCTTCCCATTTCCCTGCAAAACAGGGCAAATGCCAACAGGTGTTTTCCCGCTGGCAGGAGACATTGAGGTACCCCAAGCAGCATGTCCTCACACTGACTTCTAAGGCTCAGCTTGGTTGATTTTGCTTTTGTCTTTCCCTAAGCACATTTATAGGCACAGAATCTCTCAAGTGACTCTCAAGAAGCCTCCGTGGGCCCCAATGATACCTAAGTTCTCTGTTCCTCCAGTTTAACCCTTTATATCTAATGCAGCTTCCCAGGTGGCACAGCTGAGCTCCTTCCAGGCTTCTCTGTCTCCCTTTCATTTCAGGAAAAAACCATGACAGTTGAATATTCTGGGTTCCTAATAAAAACATCATTGGTGCTACGTGGTGTCATTCAAGATGACCACAGGTCACTGTCCTGATCCCTTAGGGACGGTGACAGGACAAGCTGTGTCCTGTGCATCCTGTCCAAAATCCTTCCAGTCCCCCTGCCTTCCCAGCACACCATTTCCAGCCAGACACAGTGCAGAAGGATGCTCTTTCAACATGGAGATCATCTGTCTGTTCAGTTATCTGCTTTGGGGATCGTTTATGTCCATGCCTGTGTCAACCGTTCCCACAGCTTTCAGACCTGCCCATTGTCGCTGCTCGGCTGCCTGGGTGCAGGCAGGCATGTGAGGCTGCCTGCCTATCCCTGCCTGTCCTTGCCCACTCCAGCTTGTCTCCATGATGGCCCAGACCACTAGCCCGGTCTAAGGCTCCTACCTCGTTTCACCTTGGCTTCTGTAAAATCTGCAGGTCCCTTGCATTCCACGGACAGCTCCAGGTGTCCAGGTGGGCACCTTTCTTCATCACTTGGCTTTGTCTCTGGTGTCCTTTGCTTTGTAGGTGGCCCTGGCATCCTTCCCACCCACCTTGGCCCTCTTACCCCCTTGAAGGAGATCCAGGACCCCCATCCTGTTCCTGTGTTGGCCCTCCACTGCTCTGCCCGTGCTGCAGGGAAATGCCCCTGCACATCACACTGTGCCCAGGGCTGCCCCCAGGGCTGTGTCCCTGCCCCCTTGGGACATCCCCAGGGACACGGTCCCCTCTGTGGATGGGGTCACTTACGGTCCAGAGATGACAATGACACTGCGCACCCGGTCGAAGCCGCGGTCGCTCAGGTTCAGGCACTCGGCGGTGAACTCCATCTGCCTGCCCTGGAAGTTCTCCTGGTCAAAGACGACGATCTGGGGGTACAGGGAAAGGGTCAGATGGGGACAGCCGTGGTTTAGGGAGAGTAGAGTGGTGCTGTGTGTCCCTGCATGACTCTGCATGCACGAGCCCACTGCCCCAAGTGTCCTCCTCGGCTCTCCAAGCTTTCCTGCAGCTTTTCAGCTCTGGTGCCCAGGCAAACCAAGCTGGGCTCTGTATTTGAGCAGCTCTGTCCCAGCACGGACTGAACATGGGAAGGTCCCTCCTGACAGCTATCCCTGATCCAAGATGGCCTCATTCAGCTCCCATTTTTGATGTTGCAAAGCCACATCTCCCTGTACCGGTGCCCAGGTTGCTGGGAAGGAGCTTCTTCTTCCGGAGCTGCATCCATGCCGTGGCCTTTGCTACCTGGCACATGCACAGTGTCACCGCAGTCCTTGCATCACTCACCCCTCATCCCTAGCCCTGCGGCAGCGCCTCAGTGGCATTCTGCCCTAGAATCACTGCAGCATTTCAGTGCTGGCCCTGTCACCCACAGTGTCTTCTCCACCCTCCCTGAGCACCATAGGATCCCTGCATGCAGAGGGTGACCAGAGGGAGCAGCTGGCAGCAGCCAGTCCTGATGCCGCAACCCAGGGAAGAGCATTTCCAAAGCCCGTGGTCCCCAGTGGTCACTGATGAGCTGTCCCGACCAAGGGACTCCAAGAGTGTCCCTCCTGCAGCAGCTGCCCAAATCCTGTGCCCGTGCCAGAGGCACAGAGCAGGGAGCGATGGTGGCACTCGTGCTCACATCCTGCTCTGGGAGGGGTGTCCTTCCCTCTGGGATGATCTCCTCCTGCCCCAGAGATGCTGCCACTGGCTGCAGCCCCGGAGTGTGTCCTGCATGTGGGGAGCTGCAGGGCTTACCCTGAAGGCTTCTGGGGAGGGCTCCTCGCCCTTGCTGTTTGCGACAGGAGCAGGATCGAGGGATGGAGTTGGCGCAGGAGCTGCCTTCTCCTTCTCCTCTGCAGCCTGTCCGGGAGCAGTGGGTTTCGTGGTCTCAGACATCGCGGTGGTGGGCTCAAGTCTGTGACAGGGCACCAGCAGGTTAGAGGGAGGCGTGGATATGGGCACCCACCACCCGCCCCAGGAGTAGTCACACTGGGATGGGGGCTCTCAATAGGGTGGGTAGCCAGGGCCAGGAAAGGACCCACTGGAAGGTTTTCCAGCAGGCACAGGCAGGGGATCTGCCTTCACCAGGAGGACTGCAGGAGGTCCTGGTGTCCACGATCTCCTTCTGTGGTCAGGAGATCTCTACCACTGCAGAGGTCCTACCACTGTGGGGGTGCCCAGGGTAGCCCCCAGCTCTGGTGTCCAGGCAATCCCTGCTCTCCCTGGCCAGGCTGGAGTCTGACACTGTGCCAGGCACTGGGGTCATCCCTCACGGGGTGCGCCTGGGAGCCCAGGGAGCATGGGGGCAGCATGTGAGGGGTGGGAAGAGGGACAACCCTGGTCTGCTGAGGCCCTGCAGCAGGCACCCTGCTGTGGCCCTGCAGGTGAGTGTCACCAGCAGCTCCCCAGGGAGAGGAGGGCAATGGGGTGCTGAGCACTGAGGTGCTCCCAGACATGATGACCACAGCGGTGGCCACGGCTTAGACCCTGCATTTCCCTCTCCCCACCTCGGGTCCGGCTGCAGCCCGGTGCCCGGGGACTTTGTCCTCTTACCTGGGCAGCTGCTGCTTCTTGTTGGAGTGAGCGGGCTTGTGTTTCGGGGCGCCGCGAGGCCCCCACTTTATAGCCTGGCAAGGGCAGACCCCCGGGCGGGCGCACAAAGGAACTGCCAGCTCATCAGTGTCTGCGCGGCCGCCCAGTCATCACATCCTGCAAAGCGCTGGGCGAGCTGGAAGCCTCTCCCCGGCCCCGTGCCCAGCCGCTGAACCCAGCACTTTCCTTTGTGCCCGCGGCACAACAGAAGACCTGACCGTGCCACTTTGCAGCGAGCGGCGGCACCCGCTGCCCCGCGTGCGGCCGCCCCGGCAGGGCATATATAGCCCTGGCACGGCCAGGCCAGCGCCGGCACCAGCACCGGCACAGGCACACGGCCCTCCCCTGCCCACCGCCCCTGGTACCGGGCTCGCACGGACACCCCGCTCCAATGCCACCACTGCCTGCAGCCCCACAGTGCCCAGCCTGCAGCCACGCTGTGCCGGTTTCACCCCTTCAGACACTGAACCTCTTGCTTTGAACATCTCTCTGTGCCCATATGCGCCTGCAGCACTGCCCTGAAGATGCCAGAAAGTGAGACCTGAGTGTCCTGAAATGCTTCAGGAGCTGATTTTTTTCTCAAACGATGTGTAATTGAAGCTGACACTTTCTGAACCATCTGAGTGCCTGAAAATGGTGTTTGTTCTCTGCTGGGAATGTCACTGCTCACTGGCAGGGCTGTTCTCTTGCTTTGTAGCCCATTTCCCCCATGCTGTGCTCACCCTGTACCACTCCTAGTTCTGCCACCACCACCCCTACAGTGTCAAACCCCACACAGCGTTTTGGGGCATCAGCTCTGTCTGACTGGCACAGGAGAAGGGTTGCAGGGTGGCTGGATGGGGACATGCCAGCACTGGGCTCTGTGGTGGCTCAGCCTGAGGTGCCGCTTCTCCTGCACCCCATGGCACCTTGGGGGGACCTTCCCCTGAGTCCCTCTGAGCCTCTGATCCGATTCTCTCCCTGTTTGCCTGCTGTGATCCTGTTCATCCTGTAAACACCTGCACACTCCTTAGCAACACTCCCAGCTTCCCGCAGCATCCAGCACCACAGCTCCTGGGCAGTACCTCACCCGAGGGTCTGCGGTCAGAGAGCTCAGAGCCCCGTGTTTTGCCCTCGTCTTTTGTTCCCCTCATATGTCAGCCAGCAGCAGTGGGATCCAGCTGTGCCCTCTGGGCTATTGCTCAAAATCCCTAACAAAAAGAACGTATTGATCCCCTCTTTTCCCGAGGTTTTTCAGTGGCCGTGCTGTGCCCGTGATGTGCTGGGTGTGGGGGCTGCTGCCCTGTTACCCTGAGCACTGCCCCAGTCTGGTTCTCACCTTGACACTGGACAGTGGTTTATGATTCATGATTTCAATTGTCACCATGGTTTTTACTCAGATTTCTAATTTAACCTGCCCTCCCTTCCTCTGCAAGCCAGGGTAGATGTTCTACCTGTGCTGCCTCCCTTGTGCCTCCTGGGCATTAATCAGCAGGTCTCACCCACCCCCTGCTCCTGGCTCTGCTTCCTCTTTCAACTCCCAGCACCTTTGAAATTGGGCATTGGAAAAACATTTCAGAGGGACTGATCTCTGCTCCCAATGGCTGCTCTGTGCTGCTCCATGTTAATCTGAGCACACAGCAGCTCCATGGTTTTCCAGAGCCAGTGCCATGGCAGGGCTGACAGCAGGGATCTGTCCTCAGTGGTTCCTGAGCATCCCAGACACAAAATCTCTGCCCTCCCCATGGACAATCCCTGCCACTGGCTGCAGGTGGGTCTACTCCATCCCACCCTGGCACAGGGATGCCTGTGGGATGAGCAGCTCCAACAGCAAAGATCTGCCCAAGCAGCAGAAGGCCAGAGTTGGCACAGTAAGGCTGCAGAGGGCACAGGCATGACCACAGAGGTTTGTTCTGCCCTGGTGAGCCCACGGAGCTCCCGCTGCTGCAGCCCTGCCCAGTGCTGAGCGGCACCGTGGTACACCCAGCACAGCCCAGCTCAGTGCCGGGACACAGCATGGAGAGCAAGCACGTGGTGGTCACTGTGCTGGTGGCCAGCACAAGCTGAGTTTAGCTCAGGCCACAGCGAGAGGTTGGGGACAAATTGTGCCAAAAGGCTTTTGCTGGGGTTGCAGGTGTCTGGACAGCCCGTGCAGCCCTGCTGCAGCCAGGGGTGGCTGGTTGCATTGAGCTCCCCAGGCTGCTGTGCTCGCCTGTTCTGCCTCCCCCACAGTGCCTGGGGTTGACAGGGCTGCAGCTGCACGAAGGATGCTCCAGCTCAGCCCCCTGGAAGTTTCCTGGCAAATGCTGTCCCAAAACACAGGACTCTCTGGGAATATGAGTTTTCTCACTTGGCCTAACAGCCTCCATTGGCTGCTGCCTGCTCTGAGGCACAGGCTGGGTGGGTGCCTCTGCCCAGCCCTCAGAGCCCTGGCACGCTCCGGGCACCACCCCAGGATGATTTGTGAGGTGTGGGGGTCACTGTGAGTAAATTATGAAAGGTATTTATGTTCCCAAAATGTGGTCACAGCAGACCCTTTCCAGTGCACAGAAGCAGCAGCGCTCCCCAAATCATGACCTACACCTCCAATCCCTTGCATGCTTTTGCAAACCCACCCCTCACTTCCCATACCCTTGGTCCCCACTTGTTACAGTGTCCGTGGCTGCTGTGTGGCCAACCTGCAATGAACTGCCCTGGATTTCAGGGAGAGCTGCTCTGCCCTCCCAGGGAGAGCAAGTGCAGATGTGTCCTTCCTCCCACTTCCTAGAAATGGGTAAGGAAACCTCCCCGTGCCCCCAGTGCAGGCAGTGCTGCCCACAGGCAGGAGGAGCACTGCCAGAGCGGGGACACAGCCCCAGCTCAGCCCCTCACTGGGGAGGACATGCAGCAGAAATGCTGGCAGACCCTGGGGGCAATGCCCCATCTCTGGAGCTGTGGGGCTGGGGGTCAGAGCCCTGGTGGGCCCGCTCAATGTCCCTGCTCATCAGCGTCTCTGACACGTTGCCTTTGTTCTGCCCGGTCCCTCCTCCCCGCCATGTGCTGAGTTAGGGGTTTCAGTAATGCTCCCCTGGGCTCTGTCTCTATCTGGAGGCTATAAAAACCCAGTCGGAGGCTGCAGGACGTGTCACCTCCCTGGGCACGAGTGCCTCACCCCAGGTAAGCGCCAGAGCTGCCCAGTCCCCATGGCTGGGGCCTGGGAGCAAGCAGTTGCGGGAACACGTGGAGGAGTGCCCAAGATCTGGGGTTAGACCTCACCTTGGTGCATGAAGCAGTGCCAGGGGATTGGGGGGCTCGGGAGTTGGGAGACTGGGGAATCAGGGGTCATCGCTGGCCATGGCAGTGGCAGGGTGCTGATACTCAGTGTGGGCACATGGCCACCTCCGCAGCACTCCCAGCTCAGCACTACGCTGCCTGCACTGGCTGCATGCACGGGTGCTTTGGCTCAGGGATCTGCCAGTGGGAGGAGGAGTCTCTCTGGGCACGGGCAGGCAGTGCTAGGATGGCTGCCAGGGCCAGGTGCCCACTGCTCTGCACAGCCCAGGCGGCAGCAGCTCTGGGTGGGCAGGGAGAGTCCCAGTCCATGCTCTTCTGCTCCAGTAGGGAGCAACCCCCTTGTTACCACTCACACTGCTGGTGAAGGGATGTGTGTGGGCTCCTGAGGGCATTTCATCTGGGCAGAGGGCAGCTTTAACAGTCCTGTTCCCCTGTGCCCTGGCAGAGCCACCATGACCCACCGCTGCAAGAGATCCTCTGGTCTCTGGAAGGTACGGGAGCCTGGGCAGGACCAGCACTGCACCCTTTGAACACCTGGGAATGGAGCTGCAGCCCCGGAGCCCCCTGACTCCCTCCATCCCCCCCAGATCGTGGTGTGGGATGAGCCTTTTTTCCAGGGCAAGAAGCTGGAGTTCACCACCGACTGCTACAGCATCCCAGAGCATGGCTTCAGCACTGTCCGCTCCTGCAGGATCGAGAGTGGGGCGTGAGTGGGGGTCTTGGGGCACTGCCACCCTGTAGTGCTGTGGGACCCCATGGATGGAGAGGGGTCAGGTGATGGAGGCCTCCAATGCCTTTTGCCACCTGAGCCATGGGGCCACCTCCGCCAGACACCCGTTGTGTGCAGCAGACACAGCCCTGGGTGTGAGTGGGGCGGTGGTCACCCCGAGGGTCTCAACCCCTTCCCGCCCCGGTAGGTGGGCAGGCTTCGAGCACTGCGGCTTCCAGGGGCAGCAGTTTGTGCTGGAGCGCGGCGATTACCCGTGCTGGGAGGCGTGGAGCGGCAGCAACGCCTACCACGTGGAGAGGATGTGTTCCTTCCGCCCCATCGCCTGCGCCGTGAGTGTCCCCGCCCCGACTCCCCCACGGGGTTGGCCAGGTGAGCCGGGCAGGGCGGCCGTGCCAACCCCGTGCTCCTCCTGTGAGCAGGACCACGGGCGCAGCCGGCTGATGCTCTTCGAGCAGGAGAACTTCCAGGGCAAGCGGGCAGAGATGAGCGACGACTGCCCCTCGCTGCCCGCCCTGGGCTGGGGCAGCAGCACCGTGGGCTCCTTCCTTGTCCGCTCCGGCGCGTGAGTACCGGGGGCTCGCATCCTGCCAGGACCCAGCACCGAGGCACCGGGCGGGGCCGAGGGTGCTCTGGCAGCTGCCGGCACTCGCAGCGCGGGGGCTCCACGGTGCTGCCAGCCCTGAGCCACCGCCGCTCTCTGCTCTGTCGCAGGTGGGTCTGCTCGCAGTACCCGGGGTACCGAGGCTTCCAGTACCTCCTGGAGAGCGACAGCCCCGCGGGCGAGTACAAGCACGTGCGGGAGTGGGGCTCCCACGCGCAGACGGGCCAGGTCCAGTCCATCCGCAGGGTCCAGCAGTGACCGTGGTGCCGGAGCCCCCGCACCAGCGGCCGCACGTCCTGGGCACTGCCTGTCCCGTGGTGCAGCGGGGGCAAAGCTCAATAAAGGCTCAGTTGTCCAAGGCGGCGCTGGCAGTTGGGGAGGGGGGACCGTGACAGTGTGTGGTCGGGAGTGATGTCATGTGTGGGGGCAGAGGAGGGGCTCTGCAGGGGCAGGGACGGGGTGAGGGGTATCTTTTCTGCCCCTACATCCAGGACATATCCCTGTCCCAGGCAGGCAAAGCCCTGTACCAACCCGGCTGCAGGCTCAGAGGCTCTGCAGAACCCCCACACCCCACTAACCTGTAGACCCCATCTGCTCCACCAGCACCTGCCAGGGGCTGGAAGGAGCTGCAGGACCCAGCAAGGTGCAGGTGCACTCTGTGCACCTATCCCCACATTCATGTACACCCCTGTGCTCACCCATACCTTACCCAGTGCGCAGCCAAAGCTGGAAATGTGGCAGGAAAAGGCTGGTCTGGAAAAATTCCTCATTTCAGAAGAGCTGTGGAGAAAAGGTTTGATGTGATGAAAATATCCCATTCATGACATTTGCAGTAGCAGGGCCACCAGTGGAGGGAATGGGGAATGCTGCCCAGAGAGGGATTCTATCCACTGGAATCACAATAAAAAAGGCAAAATAGAAGAAGAAACAAAAAGTTTTGGGGTGGGCTGAGTGAAACCCTCCTGCACCCCAGGGCAAACCCGTTCAGGGCTGGCAGCCAGCGAGACCCAAGGAGTGGAACTTCCTGGCCTCTCCATGGCCCCAGATGGGGGGGGATCCCTGTCCTGCCCCCCTGCCCCCTTTCCCCCGACCCTGCCTAGCTCCAGAGCCCCGGGAGGGTGCGGGGGGCTGGGTGCAGGTTCAGCACACAGCCAGACACGGTGGACAGCTGGCGGCGGGAGCAGGGGTCCCCAGGGACTCGGCAGGGACTTGGAGAACAATGCAGGAGCCCAGCAGCTGCACAGCGCTGAGGAGGGGCTGTCACAGCTTTCTGACCGGGAGTGGGGCTGTCCCCGGGATGGGAGGGCTGTCCTCGGGCAAGACTGTGTCCCCAGGCTGGGCTGGGTCTCTTTGCCATTCCCCCTACTGAGACCAGCCACATCCTGCCCACCACGTCCCCAGGGATGTGCCCGCAGCAGCCCCTGCCCAGCGACCCTTGTCCCGCGTCCTCTGGGCCACCCCAAAAGGGCTGTGGGGAGCCCGTGACACCAGGGGGGACCGTGTCCTGGCGGGGGGGTGGGGGAGGGGGGCAGGGGTGGGGGTGACAGTGGCCTTCCTATCGGCTGTCGTGTCAAAGGGGTCCCCGGGGTCTCCTGAGGTGGGATCGGTGCAGAGGGGTGCGGGATCAGTGCAGAGAAGTGCGGGAAGGGTGCGGGGAGCGATGCGGGAGCAGTGGTGGAAGCAGTGCCGGAGCGGTGTGGGGAGGAGAGCGGTGCGGGAGCGGTGCGGGGGGGAAGGTGACTCGGCCGCATTTCCAGCATTAAAATTTAATGCGAGTTGCAGCATCCTCCTACGCCGTAGGTAGGGCCGGGGGGGCCGGGGGCTGCGGGAGGAGGAGTTTGCGTGGCCGCCTCTTCCTCAGGGATGCTCTGGGAAAGCTCCAGCACAAAGGAGCGGCGCGGCGGGCAGAAGCGAGCGGAACCGGCGCCCCTCAGCCCCAGCCCGGCCCCCGGGAGCAGGTAACGCTCCGCGGACATCGCCCCGCTCCCTCTAGATGGAGGTAGGGCGCCGGTGGGGTCTGGGGGTGCGGGGAGCCCGCGGGTAACCCCTATCTCGGGGCGGGAGCGGGGGTCGATGCTGCCCCGGGACTCGGGGGGTCCTGCGGGCATCGCTTCGGGGGGATGCGGAGCCGGCAGGCGGGGCTGCTGCCGCCGCACTGTCTCCAAAAAATACACCCCCACCCCTCCCATATAGTGTTCCCTGGTTATATATAATCCCACGAGAGCCTCCCGCCCCGGCAGGAGCCCCCCCTTCCCTGGGGTGCCAGGCGGGGCAGCCCAGACCCCCTCCCTTTGTTAGGGCAGGGGCAGCCGCGCATTCCACAGCGTGTTCCCGGCCTCATCCCGGCCTGGCGGGCGATCCCGGGTGATCCCGGTCTGGAGGCGGCACCGGGCAGCCTGGTCGACCCCGGACATAGCCTGCAGCCCCCGGCCCAAATCAGAATTAACTGCTACACCACTTTTTTTTTTTTTTTTTTTTTTTTTTTTCCAGAATCCTCACCAAGAATAGGGCTCCTGCCAGGTAAATGGATTCTTTCCTGATTTTCAATGCCCCTGGGAGGAATTGTAGCCAAAATGCTGGCTTACTGCTTTGTCTTGTAATCCCCATTTTCTCCTAAAGCTGGTGATCCTGGGTGGGGATAAGGGGCGAGGCTGGGGCCAACACTCCTGGGGCACAGCACAGCCCCTCCTTCAGAGTCAACCTGCCAGATGCTCCTCTTGCGGAGCCATTTTCTCTCCCTCATTGTCTCGCAGCCTTTTGTGTGTGAGAGGAGGTCCTGCCCGAGGACTCAGGAGGAGCCCAGAAATAATCAGGTTTTATGGCGTTCTGGGTTTGCAGGGAGCCTTTCACACCCTCACCCCTCCTTTCTCCCAGACTGCTCAGCCCCAGAGCTGCAGACAAAGGTGGTAGTGCCTGGTACTGCTGCAGCAGCACAGGAGCCTGGGATGTGCCAGAGCCTGGGCTCTGCTGGATGGCAGCAAGGGTCGGGCAGTGCTGACAGGGCCCAGGGCAAAGGTATTTGGCCACCCTTCTGGGAGCTGGGGGACTGGGGTGCCCAGATGCCACATCCCAGAGATCATCTCTGGACACAGGCAGTTCATGGCAATACTGTGCCTGCTGTGGCCTCATCTCCCTGCCCCTGCCTGCAGTGGAGCCTGTGCTCCTGTCCCTCCCTCCTCACTCCATTGGGGGGGGGGGGAGGGTTAGCCCCTGTTTAACCCAAGTGCTCAGTGGCACCGTATGTGCCACCCACCCAGTGTGGCAGAGGAAGCTCCAGCTCATGGGTGGCAATCACTGCTCACTGTGCCCCAGACGAGTGTTTAGCTGAGCCCTGCCTGCACAAGATTGTTTTCCCTCCATGTCTCCTGGGATGTGTTTCATTCCCGGGTGAGAGAGGACATCCCACAGCCATCATGTCCCGCCTGCCCCACCACAGGCGCCTCCCGCTCAGCTCCCACCTCCTGCTCAGATCCAGGCAGGGGATCCATTTGCCAGATGCTCGATGGCATCTCCGGAGCTCATTCCCACAGCTAGGTTGCAAATGCTGCCTGGATATGCTGTCCCCATGGGAGGGACTGTCCTGCCAGCAGTGCCTGCGGCATGTGGTGACAATAAACCGCAGGAAGCAGGAGCAGATCTGCAGCTGAACTGCAGAGTCATCACGGCCCAGCTCCCCCAGGACCTGCTGCAGTCCTGGCTTTTCCAGGCAGGCAGGGCAGGAGCAGGAGCAGGAACAGGGCAGGAGCAGGAGAAGGGCAGGAGCAGGAGCAGAGCAGGAACAGGAAGAGGAGCAGGGCAGAAGCAGGAACAGGGCAGGCAGTGGGGCTGGCTGCTGGCACCAGCCACGTGTCCCAATATCTCTGTGGGGGTGGAGTAGTGCCCACCACACCACAGCGCAGCTGTGACCGCCAGCCACCCCAGTACAACTGCTGCCTGCAGAACCACAGGGTCCCAGTGACCCAGCTTAACCACAAGACAGGAGCAGAGCTGGCAGAGGCAGCAGTGGCAATCAATCCCTGTCCCCAGTGCATGGGTTCCCACAGTAGGTAGGGACAGTTTGGGGCATTGCCACTGTTTCTGATATGGTGGTTCCTGGTGCCCCCCTGTGCCTGGTGGTGGGTCTAGCTCCCCGCTCTGCGAGGGGAAAGGGACAAACTGCCAGGCTCCTGCCAGCTTGGCTTGGCTCTGCCTGAGGATGGTGCCGTGTTGCTCTCCCTTGCTGCGTTGGTTGTTTCTTTTGCAGCTGCTAATGACTGACCTGAAGTCTGTTCACACAGTCCCCTCGCGGCCTCCATGACGCAGAGCTACACAGGATGGGGGGACATTGCACAGCACTTGCGTAGCTGGTGACCACAGGTAGGACCCCCAGGGAGGGGACACAGGCTGTACCAGCCCCCTGCTCTCCTACCCCTTGCAAGCTGGGAGGGCTCTGGGCAGCCAGAAGCCTTCCTCCCCAGTGGTGTCCAGGGGGGTCACACCATCTCCAGGGCCACCTGCATGAGAGGATGCGTCCCATAGCTGTGCTCACCAGTGGGGAGGGGTCGGTTGCCACACTGCCCAGGGTCTCACAGCATCTCTGCTCCCCAGTGCCACCACCCCAGGGGCACGGCTCCAGTTCCCGCCTGGCCAGACCAGCCGTGCCTGGAGGGGAGCCAGGCTCGGGGAGACGCCGTCACCATGCTGGAGCCAGGCCGGCCCCAGCAGAGCACCCTGGTGCCCAGTGCCATGGGCCAGAGCCACGAGCCCGGCCACTGCGGGGGACACAGCTGAGGACAAGGCGCTGGGGACACCTGAGGACACGGGTCTGCATGTGCACGTGGTTTTCCTGCAAGGTGCTGGGGTTCCCTTCTCTCCTGTTGCTCCACCCCAGCCATGGGCAGGATGAGACCTTGTCCCCTTCCCTGAATGCAGTGTAGGGAGAGAGAGAAGTGGAAGGAGGCAGGGATGGAGCTGTGCCAGCTCCTCAGTGAGACACAATGGCCAGAGCACAAAGGGACCCTGGTTGTCTCCACTGATCCTGCCCATCCCTCTGGCTGTTGGTGAAATCCTGGTGCTTTCTGCTCTGGAACTGTCAAACAATACTAGTTCCAGCAGGACCCTGCCTCCACTGCCCTTCGAGAAAATATCTCATTTGTGGAGCAACCTAGAGTGTGTGGAGGGACATGGGCAGTGAATCCTCCTCCCATGACCTCTGGGGGAGCCGGAATGAGGTGGGCTGGGGGCTGAGGGCAGACACAGCTTGTGGCAGGTGTTACAGCTTTAAAGTCCAAACTGGAAAAGCATCCTCTTGGGGACCAGCAGGAGTTAGTGCTGCAGGAGGAGGTAACCCAGAGGGACACAGGGCTGATGGTGCCCCACCCCAGCCCTGTTTCTCAGGGCACAGTGCTCCTGCCACTCCTCAGAGCACTGCTTAGCCCCATGGAGAGGCAGCTTCTGACAGGGAAGGAGTAAGCTATGGGCCACTTTTCCTCTGCTCCATGGCATGGTTTTCCCTGCTGAATCTCTTTCCTCCCTTCACAGGCAGTGGGAGCTCAGTGGAGACCCAGAGCAGCTCTCATGGTCTCTGCAGAAGGCCTGCTCTTGCAGAGCTGCCCATAGCCTTGCCCCGGGCATGGTCAGTGGTGATTTTACCCCTTCCCTCTCTGCTTCTTCCAGCTCCTTTAGTGCCCTGACCTGAGTCACTGCCTGGCACTGCTGGGACTGTCTCCTCCATGCATCCAGTCTCTCATCCTCACCAGTACCAGAAGTGGGAAGCACACTCAGTGTGGGGACACGCTGCTTGGGGCATTTGATACCTCACTGGCCTGGATGAGAGGGGCAGATCCTTGCAAAGCATTAAACTCAGAAACAGGTTACATTATGCAGGTTAAAACCCTCCAATAACACCTTCCCAAATCTCAATGTGGTAACAACACCCCAAAATGCCTCCTGCTCTTGTGAGCCAGAGCCCTGCTGCTCACTGGGCCTGGCTCTGCATGCTGCCGCTGCGCTCCGACATTAACCTACTAACCCGCTGGGACCCTGTGCCCTCACCGGGGGCTGGCACAGCGCTGGCACACGGACTAACCCACTAACTGGCCCCAGTGCATGCCCTACTAACCCACAGCCAGCCCTGCCTCGTGCCCACTAACTGTGGCAGCAGTGCTGCCTTTAAAGGGGAACGGAAAAGCTGGGAAAGGAGGTTTGGAAGTGCCAGGTGTCAGTGCCAGGCTGTACAGGCAGGGACGGGCAGGGGCAGCCCCAGCTCTGGGCAGGAGAGGGGACTGGCAGCCCCTGCCCCAGGCAGGAGCAGTGTCTGTCAGGCCCTGCTCACACAGGCTGCCCCAGCCCCAGCTGTGAGCTGGAGGGAGGACTGGTGGCCCCTGTCCATGCAAGCAGCCCCTGTCCTGGGCAGGAGAGAGGACCAGCAGTCCTTTCCCCCGGCAGGAGAGGGAACCAGCAGTCCCTGCCCTGGGCAGCCCTTGCCAGCACGAGGAGAGGGTTTCTCCTCGCACGCCCTGCCCGGCTCTGCCCGTGAGCCTGTTGCTGACTAGGAACCTAAAACAGTTTTATCAGCAGAAGCTTTTCAGTTCCTTTTTAAGCCAGTAGATCTGTGTTACTAACACATTCCTGAACTGAATTAAACAAACTAACCATTGCTGCTTTTCTCTTCATTTCTCTTCCAGTATGCGTGTCCTAAGGCAGACCGGTGCCCTGCTTCTGTTACTAACCTGTACTTCTGTTAGCACTGTACTAATCCTTCCTGACCTGTTTCTCTCTTGCTACTAACCAACTCTCTTTGCACTTTGCCTCTCAGATGCTATTTGCCATGACAAGTGACGGTGGCTCCTCCTGGACTTCTAGTTATCAACCTGCAGCACCCCAATTTTCAGTGCTGCTGAGCATCCCTGGCTCCCATTTGGTATGATGGGAAGGAAGATGCTTATAATGGAGGGTTTTGAAAATTTCCCTATTTGACTTCTGTTTTCCAAGAAATGTCATGTGGCACAATGAGGAAAAGAGGCTGAGAGGCAATAGGACAATAGGACAATACAAAACCATTAATAATGACCAGTAGTGGCTGTAAAGATCTGGCAAACCCAGAGAGATTCAGCCACAGAGTGATGCTATTGCCCATGATCCCCATCAGAGCCTGAGTTTGGGGCTCTCCTGGGGCCCCACGTCACTCGTCATGGGGAATGGTCTTGTGCTGCTCCTTGAATTGGCTCACAGGCGCTCCTGGGCTCCTCTCTTCACTCCCTTTGTCTTTCCACAGTTTATCTTGTGCCTGGTGCATGTGGAAGCTGTTGCCGGCAGCGTGGCCGTGACTAACCATACCTGTGTGTGACCGCTGGGTTTGTAACGAGCCAAGGGCAGGAGGGGGAAGTGGGTGTCAGAGGGGGCTCTGCCATCAGGCTGTGATGGGGGCACAGCCTGGGCTTTGCTTTCTGTCTGTCAGCTGGAGAAACCTTCCTGGCCTCTCAGGGGTCCTGCCAAGGTGAAGGCTCCAGGACCTGGCCCATCAGTGTAGGTTTGGACATGGGCTGGTGACCCAGGGCCAGGCACCACCAGTGTCCAGGACTGCCATGACCAGTGGGGCAAAGCCAAGCCCTGTGTGCCAACAGAGGATGGTGGTCCCATGCTACTGGTAGGGACGGGCTGGCTCATGAGGACACCCCAGACCGTGGCTGCTGTGGGGACACAGCAGTGTGGGGCTGCCCCCACCAAGGGTCAGGGCAGCTCTGTCCGGGGGCTACAGATCTGGACAGCATCCAGCTCTGGCTGCTCTGTCTTGGCTTTGCCATATGCTCACTAACCCCATGATGAGGGTCTGCCCAGTCACTATCACTGGCTGTTGTCACCATCACAGCAGCTCTCCTGCCTTCACTGGAAAGCAGAGCCAGAGAGGGGTCCCCTGGATGGCTGGGCACACCCCCTGATGCTGCCACTACCCCTGGGCATCCCAGGTCTGCACTGACCCAAGCCTGCTCCTTTAGCTGGGGTGTCACTGGGCTTTCAAGCTGATGGGGTCCCCTCCTCACCCAGCTCCATGTCTGTCCAACCTCCACTTTGTTGCACTAACCATGTGCCTACCCTTCCTCCACACAGCTGGCACCATGGTGCTTTTTGGGCTGATGCTCCTGTGTCTGATGGAAAGGGGATACAAGGCCCTACTGTGGGCAGAGGGGGAAGCAGGGTCACAGGGACAGAAATGGGCTAGGAGGACAAGCCAGGCTGGGCACAGGGTGGACAGGTTCAGGGCTCCTGCACAGGTAGGAGCACCACCAGCACTGAGCTGGGGCTGTCAGAGCCCACCAATGTGAGGGACTGTTCCTCCCTGCCCCACAGACCCCTCTTTCTGCTCCAGAGCAGCCCTCCTGCACCCAGGGGGACCTCCTCAGGCTGGTCACTGAGGGGAGTCCTGGGATTGCAAGTCACCCTGTTAGCCAAGAGGATGCCCTGGGCAAATGTGGTCCTGCATAGGCAACCAATGCTGCCCACAGACCCCTCGGTGGGGACATGGCCACCAGTGCCCGTGGGTGGCTGCTCCCCCTGCAGAGCCACCACTGCTGAGCAGAGCAGGTCTGGGGGGCAGAGGCTTCACCAAACAGCCTGGTTGCTCCTTTGCTCCAGCACCTTGGGACTCCCTGCCCCTGCTCCCCAGTTCCTGCAGCTGGCAGAGGAGTTGGTCAGTCTGTCTGTCTGTCTCTCCTGCTTTGCTGGTGCAGGGAGGTGTGGGGCTGGGGCACCCCAGCCACGACACAGGCAGAGGTCAGAAGGTGTCACCCAGCACAGTCTTGCCCAGGGTGCTTCACACCAAGCTGGCCAGGGCTGCCCCTGCCCTGCAGGACCCCACATCGGCCCCATGTCAGCATGGTGGGAGCAGGCACAGCCACACTGGGACTGCACTGGACACTGGTGTGGGGTGTGGGCATGCTCTGGGCCAGGGGGTTGGAATCCTGTGGGTCAGCACGGCCCCGAGGATGAACCCACAGCCCCGAGAATGTCCCTGCTGTCTGTAATGTCTACTGTGAACATGGCAAGTGTGCAACCACCCTGCAGTCTGGTGTCTTTGTGAGGTGGGGGGGGGGGGGGGGGGGGGGGGGGGGGGGGGGGGGGGGGGGGGGGGAAGCGAGCAGGGTGTGGCTGGGGGTCCCCCAGCTCTCATGGGACACGCTGTGGGGTGTGGGGTGGTCAGGACAGACGTTTCTCACCGAAGCAACCTCGGCATCCTGCTGAGCAGCCGAGGCCGCCCGGGGTGGGTGGTGGGACAGGAGGGGATAGAGACGCCCCAGGCCCTGAGTGGATGGTCCTGCGAGGTCGCAGGAGGGGGGTCATTCCCCCGGGGCACCGCTGAAGGGTGGTCCTGGGAGCGGCGGTCAGGGCGGGCAGCGCGGGGTGCAGTGCGGGCACAGACCCCACGCCACGTTCCCAGCCAGGAGGCCCCGCGACGGGGTCGTGCCCGGGGGTCGATCGGGGAAGCCGCGAGCAGCGCGGAGCGGGGAGGCAGAGACCGGGGGCTACGGGGGCGGGAGGGCGGGCCGGACGGCGCGGGACACCCGCCGGTACCGGGCTGGGCAGGGAGGGCGGCGGCAGGTGGAGCTCGTGCTCCAGGAAACTCCCTGCCCCGGCTCTATACCTGGAAGTGTTCAAGGCCAGGCTGGACGGGGCTCGGAACACATTGAGCTAGTGGAAGGTGTCCCTGCTCATGGAGGAGAAGTGGAACGACATGAGCCCTCTTCCAACCCAAACTATTCTATGATTCTGTGATTCCAGCCGGGGACACGATGATCACCTGGAGCAGGGCGCAGGGCCTGTCCGTCCCTCTCCTCTGGGGGAGGCTGGAGACCCCCCGACTGTCGCGGGGAGGGGTCCCGACTCCATCCCCTGCCCGGCCATTCCCGGTTGAGCGGGAAGGCAGCATCCAAACCGCCGTATTTATTTTCCGCGCCGTGAGCAGCATTTTGACATGTCATAGCGAGTCTCTCCAACGCGTGTTGACAGGGAATGTGTACAAGCAAGAGAAATGCTGTTCATTTGCATTAGGTTGCGCCGCGGTTCTGTGAAATGGATGCGTGGCATTTCACGGAGCGGCTGCGAGCGGCGCTGCGGTCTCTGCCACTGAGGGGCCCTGAGGGAAGGGCTTTGCGGGAGGGATTGTTAAAGCTCCGAGCACCTTTCCCAAACGCCCCAGTGCTGGCCATGGAGCTGCCGAGAGAGCTGGGCAGGCGGGCAGGATGGTAGGCCAGGGAGCAGCTCTGTGTCCGGAGCCCCGAGAGTGCAGGAGACTGCTGTTGCTGTGGGAGCTCATCCCCATCTCATGCCCCTGCTCTCGAGTCCCTCCCCTGCCCCTGGCTCTCCCACTCTCTGGCATCCCTGTGCTGGCTGCTCACCTCTGGGCAAGGAAAGGCTTCCCTCCCCCAGAGCCGTGCCCACTGCCAGGAATCTTCTTGTTTCCCAGGTACATCTTATTGTTTCCTGGCACATCTTGAAGCAATTAAAGTCTCAGTTACAGAACTCTGCACGTGTGGAGCCGCTGTCCTTCTCTCTTCCACCTCTGCAGAACAAGGCAGTGGCTGCAGCTTGGTTGGCCACCAGGATAACGGCTTTAGGCTGAGAGAGAGTAGGTTTAGACAGGATATTAGAGAGAAATTCTTCCCTCTGAGGGTGGTGAGGGCCTGGCAGAAGTTGCTCAGAGAAGCTGTGGCTGCCCCATCCCTGGAAGTGTCCAAGCTCAGGTTGTACGGGGTTTGGAGCAACCTGCTCTAGTGGGAGGTGTCCCTGCCCATGGCTGGGTGTGGAACTGAATGGTCTTTTAGGCCCTTTTCAACTCAAACCATCCTGTGATTCCATGCCATGCCCAGGGTTCCTGGATCCCAGTTTCTCCAGGAGTGACTGTATTTGGGCTCTCCCCTCTGCTGAGAGTGGGCTCTGGGCCTGTGCTGCCGCACTCTCATTAATACACGGGATTGTGAGGCGATCCATAATTAGATGCTAACTGAGTTTTCTCTAAGTTGGGTGAGGGAAGGTCACCAAGGTAGGACTGGAGTCAGCTTATTGTTATTATCAATCAATAACCTATTTATTTTCCAACATTCCTATTAACCTCTGCGAGCCACTCGCCGTTTCCCTATGAAAGGGCTGTGCCGCTGCTTTGCTGACTGGACAACTCTGATTGAAAATGGAGCAGTGACCTGACCCCAAAGGCAGAATCCAATTAAAATCATTTTCATTTGTAGATTAATATTTTTTAACATGTTCTACATCCCTTGCTTCAGCATTTCACACAGGAACTGCTGCCTCATTACACGAGCACCTGTATCAATAACGCCATAAGGAAATAATTACAATTAATTAGCCGTGGAGACAATAGGACCATCCTTTTCCAGGACCGAGGGACAGTGCCCAGTTGTGATGTGCCATCCCTGTAGTGGCAGTGACCACGATGGTGAGACAATGCTGGTGAGACAAGGCTGCTGTGCTGGTGGCGAGGAGAGAGACAGGGTGGTCTCAGCATCTGGCTCCTTGTGCCACTGTCCAAGCACCAGCCCCAGAGAGGAGGGTGGGTGAGGGTCACTGGTGGTCCAGCCTGTGCTGATGGAATAGACCAGATGCCCTGGCAATGGGCACATCATAACACACAGGGTCCCACCTTCAGCCCATCACAGAGCCTGGTGCTGAGCACTGCTGAGAGCAGTAATTGCCTGATGGAGCTCGGTCTCAAGGTAAAGTCTATTATTAATAACGTGACTTTGATAATAAAAAGATTAAAATCAGGTTTATGGTTTGCTGACTGCCCTTTCCACACTGTAATCATCCCTCATTCATATTCATGAGCCTCTCATTAGTAACCACTGCTTACAAGGCGGCTAAACAGCCCAACCCTTCAGCAGCCTCCATCTCCTTAACTGCTTAACTTGCTCACTGATTACCAACATCAAATTAACTCCGCAGAACAGATCTAATAAGCTTCCTGGTGGCTTCAAACCTCCTTGAAAATTGCTCTGATGTCTCCATGGGGCCCTATTAAAAAAAATCCTTCCCCTGTGAGAAGAACGGGGAACTCGCCGGGCTGCAGCTGCGGCAATGCTGGTCCCCAGCCCTGCCCGGGCCCATGGCCCCAGTGCCCATGGGCAGCTCCTGGGATGCCCCTGCAGTGCCCACCAGAGCACCCGTGCTTTGTGTGGTGTTTTTGCAAGGGGAATGGCTGTTTGAACTGATGAGCTGCTTTCCCTGATCCTTCATTAAACGCTCCAAGACTTAATTTGACTATCTGGTGGCTTGGGGGTTGTGTAACAAAAGAATAAATAAGAACGACCTTTCCATTTAATTACTTTTTTTTTTTTTTTTAGATATGGGAAATGCCTTGACTTTCCAGCAGTGTGTGTGTGGCGTTTAGGAGTGAGGGGGCCAGCCCAGTGATGCTGACCCCAACCTGGGCCAGATTTGGGGACAGCAGGCAACCTCATAGTGCTGGGGACAGCACAGTGCCATGGGGGACAAGTTGTGGGCTGGAGATGAGACTCGGCACAGAGTATGGGGGTAGCTCCCTAGCAGTTAGCTCTGATGAACATCTCAGCATGTCCCAGCAGCAGCCAAGGCTGTGCAGAAGAACGCCGGTGCTGAGCATCAGGGAGTGAGGGAGCCTTCCTCCCTCATTGCCATGGCAACTGCGCATGAGGGGCTGGGGGGATGCATCCCTCCCATTGCACAGACCACCCTGGGGCGACTGTAGAGACATCCCCGAAATACCCTCTGAGAGGGACGGATGGGCTGCACCTGCTGGGATGTCATGGGCCACCATCACCCGGACCCCCTCTGGTCCCAGCCCACCTGGTGCTCAGGACCCCCTGCACGCAGCCAGACCCACTGCAGCCAGGTGGGATGGGGCATCCAGCACTGAGAAATCCCTCGGGACAGCAGGCAGAGCCAGCTGCAGCTGCCCATGCCTGTGAGAGCTGTACAAGGTGAAAGGCTGAGCCCCCAGACCCTTCCTGTGTTTGCCAAACTCCTGGCACAGGAGCCCCCTGTCTTGCTTAGTGCTGATGGAGCAACCTGGGTGGCTGCAAATTCTCGCATCCAGCTCATATTTCCTGCCTGTGGAGAGTGCCTCTTGCAGCAAGGCAGAGCAGGTGAGATTTAGTAGGCAGAAAGCAGAGAATTTGTGTATGGATTCCCTAGTTTGTGGCATCTGGGGCTGGGAGAGGGGGAGGAGGCACAGCCAACAGTGCTGATCACAGTCCCCGGTGTCCCGGATCCCTCGCTCCAAGGCTGTGAGGGACAGGGATTGCCCACTTGGTCCTGAGCCATGGAACTCCACAGCTTTGAGGTCTAACACTGTGCTGTCCCCAGAGCCAGCAGCATTTCCCTGAACAAGCAGAGGAGTCAGGGATGGTGTGCCCATCTCCTGCCCTGGGGTGGGCAGAGGATCCTGTAGCCCTGATGCGCACAATCACAGCCCCACACCATTCTAGCCCCGCTCCATCACTGTCCCACACCGTCCCTGAGCAAGGAGCCCCCTGTGGAAGAGCCCCCCAAGCCACAACTTGGCCACAGGGCAGGCAGTGGGGCTGGACATGCAGGCTGGAACAGGGGCATGTGGCCACAAAGCTATTGAGCAGGGGAGGAAGGGCATCTCCAGCCTCCTGCCCAGCCAGAGGAGACCTTTCTCACCCGGCCCAGCTCAGATATGGGGCCCTTTGGGCAGGTAGAAGCCATTCTGCACCCTAAGCCCCTACTTTCACTTCCCATCCCTTACCCACAACCCTCCTCCCTGCACATTCTCCCTACATTCAGGCTGATATTAATAATGGCTTAATTCAAGCTTTCAGCCCACTTTCTCTCAAGAAAACATTTATCCTGAGCTCCATTTTCCATTTCTTTTCAATTACCCTGTGTCTGATCACCACCCCACAACTCTCCTCTTTAGCCATGAACACAAATCCTATCGCCTTTTCTCTTTCCGTGTATTTGCCCTTTGATTTAAGCTGCATTTTCTCCTGTTTTCATCAGTTCTGGCCCTCTCCTGCTGTATATCTCCCTGTTTATCTACTTTCCAAAGGCCTCCTCCTATTTCTCCGTCCCGGATCAATACGGCTGCAGAGCCGACTGGCAGCTCCTTGCTGCTGCTGCCTGTAGTTTTTCTTGGGGGACTTGTCCAGTATTTCTTGTTAAGCTTCCGTCTCAGCTTGTTCCATTTCTCATTAAGTTTTAGCACTGGCATTGTAGTATTTCTTGTATTTCCATGCTCCCCAGCAGATCTCTTGGAATTCTTAATGGCGAGGCTTAAAGCCTCCTCTTTAGTGGGCTCCTGAGTCCTCTTGGACAGGCTGGAAGAGACAAGCAGAGAGACACTTGGATTTTCAGGTGATGAAAAGAATGTCTCTGGCTCCAAGCTGGGCCATGATTTCTTGTTATAAAAGGGGTGATGGGGATTATTTGTATTTTATAGCTGCTTTTCCAGGGGATGCATTTCACGGGACCATGGTGTGTGGCAGTGCTGGAGAGTGGGTGGCAGCACCCAAGGCTGGGGGACGGGGATGTCCTGGGGTCATGACAGCTGGAAGGTCAGAGCAGGGCAGCTTCCACAAAGCCTGCTCTGTGCCCCCTGACAACCCCAAATCATGATCCCTGAATCCCTGGCCAGTTCCAAGATGCGACCCCTGCATATCTGGTCAGCCCCCAAACATGACCCCTAAATCCCTGTTCCGTTCCAAACCATGACCACTGAATCCCTGGCCACTCCCAAACTATGACCCCTGCATCCTGGCCGGGTCCAAACCGCGATCCTTGAATCCCTAGACAGCCCCAAAACATGACTCCTGCATCCCTGGCAAGGCAGCGAACATTCTGGCTATTCCCATATTTATTTTTTTTTTCCCATCTGCATCCCTCTCAGAATTTTCTTTCCAAGAGAAAGGCTGCTTTTAAAATCCACCCCAGCTTTCCAGCTGTCAGGAGCCAGCAGATGTATTGCTCTCCATGGCTGCATCTCTGAGTATTAAACATGACGCGCAGCCGCCGCCATGCAATATTTCCTCGGATGCCACGGCACCGCGGGAGCCAAACAGTGTCCTTTAAAATCAAACCAATTTTTCCTGTCTCCTCCACAGAATAGTCTTATTTATCCACACTCAAGCAGCTGTTACTGCAGGTTAACCAAAGGTTGTAAAAACATTTTTCAAATGCCCTTAACTTTGCGTGGTTTGTTATTGAAATTATTAATCTTGGGTTGAGGGTTTTTCCTTTAATCAGATTTGTATAAAAAAAAGGAATTCTGGCCCTTCCATGCCCTGTGGAGCACTCTGCCCACCCAGCCTGGAGCCTTCATGGGCAATGCTGGGGCCATGGATCCTCTCCACAGTGCCTGGAAGGGATGAGGATGGGAGGGATGGGGATTGTGTGATGGTTCAGTCCTTTTACTACTGGGATAAATCTCTGCCTGGAAAACCCCTTGGTGCATTCCCACATGCAACCCCCTGAGTGCCATTTCCATGCAGGTGATTCCCTCATCCAGGAGGGGAAACCGAGGCTGATGAAATCCGATCTCCGGTTCAGTCAGATCGGGATTATTTGCAACGAGCTAAGCAAGAGAGAATTATTATTAAATGCAAATAACAATGAAATAAAGCTGTTTGTGACGCACCATCCACATCAGTCAGGGGGATGTTTAACCTGGGGAAATACATTAGTGCAGGTAGAGATAGGTGTCACTGCCTGGTCAGGTGTCCAGAGCTGCCCAGACCCTCATTACCTCCCTGGTAGTGGAGGACAATGATGACATCAGGGGGGACATGGAGGGAAACCAGAGCTCTGACACAGCCTGGGCACAGGGCAGCGTGGTGGGCGGGGGGACAAGAGATGGCAACAGAGGCAGGACATGGCTGGAGGTGTCTGACCCACACCAAGGAGCCACGGAGCATCCTGATGGTTGCACATCCCTGTGACTCGCTCACCAATCCCATGGCTGACAAAGATGTATTTTTAGCTGCTGCAGCACAATTAAGTCTTCTCGTTAG